GCTTTCTTAATTCTTTGATAAGTCAGGGCCAAGCCAGCTCTACACCTATCAGTAGTAGTTTATAAAGAGATAAAACTGTATTTGAGCAGAACTGAGTTTAACTTATTGATGAGGCCTTTCCCAAGAGTACCAGTTTATCATGTGACCCACCCCTGAACTAGAATGATATAACCTGCGGTTGAGCATTACATAATTATAACTTTGACCTTTGACCCTTCTACTAAAGAAAAGTACTGGAAAAGTAGGAAACACTGTTTAACAAGTTTGAGGTTGAGATCAACATTAAACAATGAAGCGTCACATGGATTGGCACTACTCAACACTTTATTATAGTCCTCATGTATTGCCTTACAAATTGTGGGAGTGTTGCATTTTATCTCACAACACACGTGGTTTTCTGAGCACAGGTAATCAGTATTTTAAGTTTTCGAGGTCTACCAAAGTCGAATTTTATGTGTGTATTTTGTGTACTTTATCTGGATTTTCCTTTATGCCATTTTATTGGCTTTGAACATAGTGGAGGATGGAGAGCACATGTGCTGCTTTGATAGGTGATAGTTCGGCAGAGGAGTGAGGTACTGGAGTGTTTCAGGTCGTTGTGACCCGCTAATGGTGGTAAACACAGAACTGGAAAATACTGGATTTTCTGAGCTGAACACATGCCAGAGATGACATCAGGACTGGAATTTTAAGGGGGAGTGGAAAAGGTTAAGCCTAATAAACCATTCTCTGAATTGAAGCGAAAGCCCCTGTGGGTCTGGAGGGGTCCATGTGTCTACAGTTTAATACCCCAGGGGACCTTTTTGACAATTTCTGTCTATATTCTCAGAGTTTTTTTTGAAAGTGATTTTCAATAAACTGGAATTTGAAGCTACAACTCCAATGTTTTTCAAATATATTAGCACCAGCTTGAGAGTTTGGATTGACTAAATTTGGTCTTTGATTTTAGTTTTTTGACACAACACTACAATAATCTGTAATATTAAATCATTTCTAAAACACTAAAGTGTCTGAATTTTGCAGTAAAAGGTTTGAAAGCACCAATTTTCATCAGCTTAACATATCTCCCTTGTTCTTATCCTCGGATAGTTTTCTGAAGGTCATGACCAGAGTGAGGAAACCCCAAAATATCTACACAAAAAAAGACAAGAAAAAGATCACACAAAGAGAAAAGGACAGAGGTGCCATCATTCAAATGCCAGACATGTTTGGCTGGTGAAAGGCTAGCAGAGAGGAGGACAGGTTGGACAGCAAAATGGCTGCATACCAAAAAAAAAAAAAAAAGGCGAGGATGAAAGCTGACCAGCAGACAGGCAGAGATCTAAAAACAGGCCAGAAAGACAGACAGACAGACAAACAGATCTGATTTACAATTTCCTTATGAGGACTTGTTGCTTGTCCAGAAAAACTGGTCAAGTCCAGACCATGTGCTACACAAACAGCTCCCTCGGGAGGAAATATAAGCACAGTGGTAGGTTCAAATGCACTGATCATCTACAACTGAGCAAACAAATGTGAAACTGAATGAACTGAATACGGAAGCATATAAAATCATCTCTATGCTTCATCTCAGTCTCTGCCCATTTAGTACTGGATGGTATACTTAATATAGCTGTATACTGGCCTCAGTTTCACACATGATAGGACTTCTTTAAATCCTACTAGATCAATGAACAAAGACACAGCCACTGGGGGGTTTTATTATGATGTATTTATAGTAGCCACTAGTAGTAGAAACCACACACTGAAACCACACACTGACACATAGCTTGAACACAGCCTGGATAATCCTCCTTTCTGCCACTTTGAATGACCAAAATTTACAAAATGGACTCATTGTTTTATTCAATCAGACCTGAAATGAGTCAGGACATGAACACATCAAGAGAGGGTCTACAGAGGTCAGGGCAAAAGTCCCTTTTCCCATAGACTTCTATAGGATAGGAAGTGTTTTTGCAGCCACAGCTATCACCCCCTGGTGGCCATTATAAACAATGCAGGTTTAAGATATTTCCCTGTTGGCTTCACTTTTCAGACCCAGAAACGGTCATTTTTTTAAATACTATAAGATATTATATAAAAAAAAACAATTAGTTGATAACTAGAAGAAGAAGCTCCGCTGACACACAGAGACAGGGAACCAGGTATAGAAGAAGTAGAAGTGGAAACAGGAAGCAAAGAAATCTATGTTGATTTTTTTTTTAAATTTTGCTTTCTCTTTCTTGGGGTGTCCACTTCCTGACACTTTTTCTATCCTCCTGATGTGCTGTTCATTTACATTCATATCTTATGCACATAATATTAAAAATTCATTGTGTGCATACTGTGAGTACAAGATAACTATTATTAGAATATAATGTGTTAAATTTGCTTAGATGAGAGGGTCCAGCAGTAGATCAGAGAAATAGGGAAGTGTGTTTCAGTTTGATTTAGCTATAGGCCTGAGTGTGTGTAATTGTGTAGAGGGAGAGGAATTTATTGACACTGGGGGTCTGCCTGCCATAAAAGGAAACAGGAAACTACAGTTGGGGGATGCTAGGACTGTATGGAACAGATAGTATAGAGAGGAGAAGTCTGTTACCCATTGTCCCTGAATGTAATAAAAGCTCATAATTGTCACAACTTAGAAGTAGGTTTGCAGGAGACCCTTCACATGCTTAGCTGTAAAAGTAAGACAACAAGAGGCCAATGGCCCAGTGGATGCAGAGTGGGGATCTCAGTGTTTGTAATCTGTTAACTATGCTTTGTATGTTTTGTAGAGGAATTTGGTGTAGTTTGGGTGAGGGGAGATGGACTTTTATGGCCGACAGGAAGTCACATATACAGAGACGCACAGTCTCTCATGTGCACTCACATACACACACAGGTATGCGCATACACAGGCACTCACGTGCTCGCGCATACATACACAAACAAAGAGTTTACAACACATGATAGGGTCGCTTCTATAAAACTGGTTGTAACAAACAAAGAAGTGATGATCTGCAGAGGGACACCGGCCTTGCACATCTCCTCTTCTAGAAGATGCATGCGTAACTGAAGATGAATAAAGGTTTTGTGAAATGACTACTGAGTCTGGTGTAGTCTCTGGAGGCCCAAGGAATAAAAAAGAACTGGGGTGAAACTGCTTTACGTAACAATACCCACACACAAATAATAAACTATTTGTGAAACACTGTTCTGTGACTTTATATTTTCAAAACATCACCGCTCCTCTTCTTAAAATGAGTCTGTTCCTCCAAAATGATGACTTTATTCTAAGCTTCTCAAAATACTTTAGCTTCACTCTTGAAATATGCCTCATGAGATATTTTCTCATAAATTTAACATTGATTTTTGATCGTTTTCTCCATTTGAAAACTTGCATTTTACAACTTGTCAAAACAAATCTCTCACCACTCCAGCGGCACAGAGGATGATCTGATCTTCATGTGTAACTGATGAATAAAAGGTTTTTTGTACTTTGTTTAGTTTTTGGTTTTGTTAGAAAGAGAGATGAAAACAGGTATTTTCTTCGCCTCTCATCAAGGGAACTGTTGTGATTTGGCCCTATATAAAACAAAAATGAATTGAATTTTCTCCAGAGTGTCATCATTCTAAACTGCTGATTAGCGAGTCTTCCTATAGTCTAGGAACCTCTTAGCTGCTGCACTGATTTGTCATTAAAATAACAGTAAGTAATGACAAGCCTGTGCACAACAAGCCAAAGTGCCTCTTAACTGGTGTTTTTCCTTCATGACAGAATAATTTGCACTACAAAGTTTGAAAGACAAAGTCTAAATGGAGTTTGTGTGGATTAACTTATTATTTTCATGATCTTACTGTATTGTAGTTTTAGTTATTTATTTATTCAGATAACAGTTAACAGTTTCATATTCTATATAGTCCTGACAGAAAAATGAGCCACAATAAACCAGTAAACGCCTTCTTATGAAAAATACTAATAAAAATAATATCCTGAGCTTTTGGTCATACACCTCATCACTGACAGCATTACTTTTCTCTTATGGTATTTTCTGGCTAATGTGATGGCAATGCTTTTAAATACTGGATATTATAAAAGAAATCATATTGTGTTATAAAATTAAAACTGGTTACTACCCACCATGTGACCCAGGTCTCCATTCTCCATCTGCAGTCAATGTTTCTTCTTAGTTCAGGTGGTCGAGAAGATCATTTCTCAGTTTCCACAAACACCTGCAACAAGAGGGCGAACAGCTTGTGAGACGGTTGCCATGGAGACGAGCAACAAGCTGATGCAGCGGCCGTCACGATCAGGAAGACTAATCGAGGCTGATTAGTCTCGAGTTTGCCGACATGTCCTATGCACACGGCCAGCCGGTAAGAAAGGGGAAGAGACGCGTTTCTTAAATCAGATGAATGAAGCTCACACGGCGACTGATTAATGGAACTCAAACAGCATCTTAATGAGCCGTGATTAAGTTTTAAAATCACAAATCAGACCCAGCTGTGGCTGAAAGGCTGAAAATCTCCAAACACTGCTTCTCCTATGTTTAATTTTAATTTGGTGTGGTTCAAAATGACTGCAGCAGCACTGCAGAGGTTTTCTTAGTCCACTCATTCTTCCTTCCTGTCATATTCAGGCACCCACATTACCTACAATGCTACTCAACAGCTGATAGTTTGCTTGACGTGGTAGTGGCTAATGTAGCCTTGATGAGCAAACAGAGGTGGCATAAACTCAGTCATTTAAAATCATCATCTTCTTCTTCTTCTTTCGGCAGCTCCCTTTAGGCGTCGCCACGGGGGATCTGCCTACATTTCACACCATCTCTAGCATCCTCCTCTTCTCTCACACCAACCTTCTATATGTCCTAACTACGCCCATGAGTCTTTTCTCTGGTCTTCTACTTTTTCTCCTGCTTGGCAGCTCCATAATCACCATCCTTTGTGCAGTATATCCAGTATCTCTCCTCTGCACATGTCCAAACCATCTCAGCCTTGCTGCTCTAATTTGTCACCAAATTGCTCCAACCTCAGCTGTCCCTATTATGTACTTATTTCTAATCTTGTTCATCCACACCACTCTCAACAAATAGCATTGTAACTCTGCCCCTTCCAAACCATACATCATTGCAGGTCTCACTACCAACTTATAAACTTTCCTTTTACCCTTGCTGCTATCCTAATGTGAAAAATCCCCCCTGACACTCACTGTCCTCTCCACCCTGACAGCACTCTAGTCTTCACCTCTTGTGCACTCTTTGTTGCTTTGGATGGTAAACTCATCCACCTTTTTATCTCTACTCATTGCAGCTTCAATGTTACACTTTTCTCCTCCTTAAAATGAAATTTTCATAGAGGGGCTCATAATTCTGTACTTGTCTGTACTTCCATCACTCCAGGTTCTCTTGCTACCCTACTCTCAGAAAAGATCCCAATGTCCCTGCAAACATCGCAGTCCACAGATTTCCCTGATGTAATCCAACCCCAACCTTGAACCCATCTGTCACTCCTACTACACACCTCACCACTGTATCGCTGTCCACATACATGTGTTGCACAACCCTCACACTCTTCTCTGCCACTCCTGGCTTCCTTATGCAGTACCGCAATTCCTCTCTTTGCATCCTATCGTATTCCTTTTCTATATTCAAAATGACACAGCGCAACTCCTTCTGACCTCCTCTACACTTCTTCATCATCACTCTCAAAGCAAGCATTGCTTCTGTAGCGCTCTCTCTCAGCATAAAGCTGTACTGCAGCTCACTGATCATCACCTAGCTTCTTGGTATGGCTCATCAACTTAATCCCTCTGTAGTTATTACAGCTCTGTATATCACCCTTATTCTTGAAAATATGCACCAGTACGCTTCTTCTCTATTCCACAGACACCCACTCACTCTCCAGGATTCTGTTAAACACTCTGGTAAAAAGTACACGGCCATCTCCCCTAGATGTCTCCAAACCTCTTCCGGTATGTTATCAGACCAACTGCCTTTCCACTCATTCATTTAACAATATTAATAATAAAACAACTCCATAGACTCCCAAATGCTTGGGTTATTAAAACTGGCAGTCTTCAGTCTCATAAGTCTCTGCTACACTTTGTACATCTTCTTTTCATATGTACATATTCATGATTGACAAACAGATTTTTATGTATGCAAATCACAATAGTTACCACAAACTATAGCTTGCAGGTTCAAAAACGTTATTATATTTCATGAAGCCATGCAAAATTTGATCCTTGTACCACAAACCAAGTTAAAACATTTCGAACTGAGTAAAATTTGGTTTTTAAATTCACCAAAGCTCAAATTTTTGAGCCCTAATAACGTCTTAAGTACAGACGACAGAAACGTGAATTTCTCACATTTACTCTAATAAAGGAAAATATAAAAATATACATAAATACTATTAACTGTATTAGCACAGGAATAAAAGTTACTAACTGCATATCTCCATTTCATATCAATGTGAAAAAACGATTTGTAAATGTCACTTTAGTCTTTGTGCTTGGCAGATAAACACACAGGCAATTCCACTGACTAATTTCCTATTCTGGGTCTGTTTTTAATAATTACAACTTAATTTATTTAGATTTTTGAAGAATTTCTGAATTACTTAGAGAGGTAAAGTTTAGATATTCCCCAGACCAAATATTCCTCGAAAATCTAACCTAAATGTAACCTTGTTGATATATGAAAACAATCAGGTAAAGGCCTCCTGAGTGATCATAGTTCAGTTAAAGGCTGGTATCTGTCTCACTGAAGCTGACCAGTGTGCTGCGGCTAACGCCTGCTAGCTCGTTAGCATCATAGCTGTAAGGGGAAAAAAGCATCACACCGATACTTTCATAAAAATATATATTTAAAAAGTCAGTCGGGTCTTACCTATAACGGCTTCATCACTACCAACCACCGCTTCAACCACAAACACAGATGGAGGTTAGAGCTATTGCTAGCTAACCTGTATGTCCGTCATAATTAATACTAAAGACTTCCGGTAAGATCTGCCAAAATAAAAGTGGAGAATGTAAATAAAGCAGTCTAGAAACACATGCAGGTGTGTTTAAAAAAAATAAATAAATCTAAAATAACCTACTAATAACCTACTAAAATCTGTAAACCTTAAAACTGTAATCTGAACACCCCCCCCCCCTTCACTTCTGCAATATGTACAGGACAAACTGTTGTTTTCGCCTAACCTACAGTGTGCAGCTTGAATGAATCAGAAAATAAAAAAGGAACTTGATAGATATGAAAACAAATGAGCTATCAAAGTATAAATATGAATTACACAAGATATATGAAAGCCAGTCAAGGAAATAATCAAATAAGTATATTTATTGAAAGAAAGAAAGAAAGAAAGAAAGAAAGAAAGAAAGAAAGAAAGAAAGAAAGAAAGAAAGAAAGAAAGAATGAATAATTAAGCTGACCATGGGAGGAGGAGATTGATGCCACTGATATCAATATGAAAAATCTTCACAATGCACAGAGGTCTCCACCCAAAGCCCAGAATCCCTCTGTCTCTATAATCAATGGAAAGAGGGAGGGCAAGGATTCGTGAATTTTGGAACCACAATCTAGAATTAAACACAGTGTGTTCACAAATACGTCAGGAAGCTGCATCCCGGAAAAGAGCTGCTCAAAAATGCCTTAGGCAGCAGAAGACAAACGGTGATGAGGACACATAAAGGAAGTGGGTGATATCAAGAAATCCTATCAGTGGCTAGAAAAGGCCAGCTTAAAAAGACAGCAGATCCACAGAGGCAGGAGTCTGCCATGGCCAATAGGATTCACATTGCAGACTGTGCAAAAGTGCCCTGGAGACTTTCCAGGATGTAAGATGAAAGCTGGGACAGTACACTGAGAGCCACACCCAAGTGGCTGGGTGGGTTAGGAGGTGTGACCCCTAAACTGGAAGCGTGGCTGATTTATTTTTTCAGTTCTGATTATAATGAGCTTGGGAGTGTAGCAATTACCTCCCACCACAGGGGGCGCTCAGAACAACCGGTCACCCAATAGGGACACGATCTGTTTTATTTATCAGAGACTACATCCTGTAGCTCTCAGCTCGTCTGTTTTCCATTTGTTGCTGAGTTTTTGCAGCTGGAAGTCTGCCTTTATTTTCACTGCACTGCACCGAATATCAACCAGATTTTCTCTCGCACATATCTGTGAAGGCCCTTAAAGGAGTTCCGCCGGGCAGCGATTCCAGGATAACGCTGGCGGGATTTGACGTTAGCTCACACCGTTAGCCCTCTGCTGTGAACCGGATCCGGACAGAGTTTTTCTCTCTGCGTATCTCACCACAAACAGAAGACTGAAGTTATGATGGCGAGTGAAAATGCTGACGCCAACGCGGGGAACGATGAGGAAACGGGTCCCTCAGCCGAATCTAACGAGCACGACTATGCCCACACTGCAGACACAAACTTGGCGAGCTCTTCCACCAATCCTCCGGGAGAGCCCGTGCAGAGCGTCCTGGTGCAGCCCTCTGAGTCCCTGCAAATGGAGCTTCCAGAACCCACTGTGGGTGCAGAGGTAGACTGCCCTGTTGGGAATGAAGTGGAGGCACAGACCGGAGTACACCCCCAAAAGGCTGAAGACTCTCAGTTGGCTGCTCCGGCGGTCCATCGCGGAGGTCCGCGGCGAGTGAGGCGGCCGGAGGACAAAAACTGCTCCTGCTGCAGGCTCGAGTTCGAGCGGCACGGTCGGTCCTTCAACCGGAGGGCGGTGTACACGTTCACCTCCCCGGAAACTGTGCACTGGGCCTTCCCGGGCTGCGTGGTCCACGAAAAGTCCTTCCTGTGCGAGACGTGCGCGCAGGTGATCCGGAGCAAATGCAAACGCAAACAGAGCGGGAAACGGAATCTGTGGCTGAAGCCGCCTCCGACTAAACCGGTCTGTGTGTGTGACAGATGGTGTGAAAGTTCAGCTTCTCTATTGTGTATATAAGCACGTGTAGGGCAGCAGGTATTTCCCCTTTAGTTACAGGTATCGCTTGCAATTACCCCCCCACCCCTCCCACCAGGGGGCAGCATTTCACAGTGAAATCTGCTGATGTTTTTGAACATGAGCTCCTGAGTTTGTAGTTGTTTCCTTTTAGTCTCACCCCATCTTCTGAAGGAGCTCTACTTTTTCCTTGGGTTATCATTACCATTGTGTCCCAAACGACTTACCTGGTTGACCCAATGTACTGTGTTGTGGTATAAATTCATAAAACAAAAAGTATGGCCTAGCCTTAGTTGAGCTGCAGCTAATTGTGCTTCAAAGCAAAACACTTGCATTTTTGGACATAGCAGTTGTTTCTTCATATTCTTTTCATAGCTACTTTTCTGTCCCATAGACTAGAGTCCTGGCTCAGAGTACTGTTTTGGTAGTTTATCAAAAGTGGTTTGAATCCTTTGTACAGACAGAAGTCGGCTTCGGTTTATTTTTAGACATATGAAGCATATGTTCATCTGTTGGAAGGGTCTTAGATAAAAAGGTAAAGCTGCAAGTAGAGGGATGCAACTTCCGGGTTTGCGGTCCAAGAAAACATTGTTTTTCTTGGACCACATGGGGCAACTCCTCTGATTTAAAAAAAATAAATGAATAAATAAAAAATTTAAAGTGTATGGAAAACTAGGGGAAAATGACTCTTTGTTTTATGTAATGTTTGATCTCAATAAAAACTTCACAGAAGTTTTTGCTTTTTCAGTTAGTTTCAATTCTTACTTAATTCATCATGATATTTATTTATAAATTGGAGTCTTCTCATCATTGTGAGGAAAAAGGACAATAAGATTATGGTTTATGGTGGCTTTGCTCTCTAATTGGTAACTTGTTACCATATGTGCAGGTTTCATAACCTTCACTGACCAGTTGGTGACATCATGTCTTCTGTTCTTTATATACAGTCTCTGTCTGCCATCAAAATCTGCAATTTCCTCTTATTTTTTTCTGCATTTCTGCCATCTGCAGTTTTTCTCTGTCAGTTACTTCCTTGATAAATGTTGTCTGTTAAAACTGTGGAAAAATCCACTTCAGATTTTCCAAGCCAAATCACAAATCTTGTACTGAAATGCTTTTGTAAGCACATTTTTTTTGAAGTTGTCATTGGTGTGTTGGTGTTTTAAAAACACTCTTACTGTGTGTGTGTGTGTGTGTGCAGTCGCAGGTGAATGATAAGAAGGCGGCAGGTTGCAGGATGGGGAAAAAGAGCAAAGCAGCGCTGCTTGTTAGCAAGTCCAGCTACAAAGCTGCTTTCCAAATGCTCTGGTCCTCTAAAGGTGCCCGGAAACCCATGATGGAGTTCTGGAGCAAACAGCTGAAAAATGAGGTGAGGAAAGAAGCTTCCTGACATCTCGTATTTGATGTTTTCTTAACTGGTAGCTGTTTTTGTTATGTAATCGTGACTGCCTGCATTCTTGTGTTTCCTGGTGATGTTTTAGATGAAGACGCTGTCGCGACTGTCAGACAATCCCTTCCATCAGAAGGTATCTGGGAAAAAACCGCTGTCGTCCTTCCCCTGGCGGCGATGTCTGAACTGGGTTCAGGAAAAGGCTCCGCTTGTCACCACGTGCCTCCGCTCACTGTTCCCAGACATCAATGCCCTCTACAAGAGCAACAGGTAAGTCTGACTCAGAATGTTTTTACATCAGTACTAAGACTTCATCTCATCCAAGCAAACATGGGTCAACAGTTTGAATTTTCTTTATTTGTTCGACAGCCAGCTGACAGAGGAGCAGGCTTTCATGCTGCTGGAGCGACGGACTGTGGTGGCGCTCTCCATCCCTCTCTTCACCAGGAACATCTGGAAGAACAACTTCCTGCAGGCCGCTCTGGGGGCTGAGCTCCGCCTGCAGGGCTGCTCCGGGTCCGCCCTTGAAATCCTCAACACTATGGGCCTGTGCCAGAACAAAGACACCGTCAGGTTGCTGCTGCACAGACTGCGAAATGGCAAAGACATGGTGAGTGTCACCACCGGTAGGGCTGGACTGAAAACAAGATAAATATGCAATCTGTGTCGATGTGGCTGAAATTGAACTAATGTGTGAACTATAGAATCAAGCAAGTTTTAAAAATGAAACTCTTCATGCCACCAAAATACGTCAAGACAGTGATTATGTGAGCCCTGCAGGTGCTCTGTGGGGTCGGGTACTGTGAGGACGTCGGGGATGTTTGAAGTCCTCTGGGCTGTGCTTTATTTTTTTTAACCAGCCATGTGTTTAATTCACATGCGTTAATGAATCTGTAAAATAAACATGTCCTTGATTATAAAGGCCTGGACTAATCTACATCCTCGTATAAAATCATCCATCCATTCTTGCATTTAAAAAAACAATTATTATTTTTTTTGTCATTTAGTTGGTCCAGCTCTTGGGGGCTAGACTTCTCACTCCCCAGCCACCACAACCAGTGAGGCATTCCCAAGCCAATGTGTCGTGGCTCAGCCTCAGGGTCTCCTCCCAGTATAACATAACCTCTGAACCAGGAGGCATCCTGGTCAGATGCTGAACACCTTCAGCTGGCTCTACTTTGAGCCCCTCCCACATCTCTAAGGGAAAGCGCAGACACGTCTGCTGCATGTATGTGGGATCTCACCCTTTTGGTTAGTACCCACAGCTTGTAGACGTAAGTGAGGGTAGGAATGTGGCTCCACCAGAAAATTTACAGCTTGGTTTTTAAACTTGTCACAAAAACAAACCCGTGCACAAATCCCCTGCTCCCCTCATTCATGAGACACACCCTGAGATACTTGAACTCCACCACTTGGCGTAGCAACTTTTCACCCTTTTCTGCTCCGACACTTGGAGGTGCTAATGCTCGTCTCAACTTCTATACAATATAGTTTCATTTTGTTTTTCCCTTTTTATTTTAAGACCACGATTCTTGCCATGACTATTCAGTGGCTGTGGGGAAGATTAAACAAAACAGTCAAAGATCTTTGCTCAGCACAAATGAATGGACTTCATGATGATTGCTGTGTGGGGGCGAGGGAATCCAAGCTTTATATGTGATTTGTTTACATTTAGAAAAATGTTAGATTGGTCATTTAACATGAAATTCAACCAGCTAGCTGTAAACATACTTTAAACTCTTAAAGTGATATTTTTGACCACACGGGCGCTGTTTTTGACTGTTTCTATCGATCGACACAGGATGGAGACGCCGGGATGAACGCTAAAGAAGAGCAACTGAAAGAACAGATGGGAGAAGTGATGACAGATGAGGAGGAAGAGGAAGAAGAGAAAGATGAGGAGGAGGAAGATGATGACAATGAAGAGGAGGAGGAAGAGGAGGAAATGGTGATGGCAGTAGAAGAGGAGGTAGTTGAAGAGGAAGTGCAGGACGGGATGCAAGAGGAGGAAGAGGTTGAGGAGGATCGTGCAGAGGAGGAAAAAGAAGAAAAGAAGAGAAAGAAGAGGGCGAAAAAGCAGAGGAAGGAGGAGAAGAGGAAGGAGAGAGTGAAACGAAAGGCAAAGGAGCAGCAGCAGGAGGAGGATGACGACGATGATGATGATGATGATGATGAGGACTCGGAGCAGAAAAAGAAGAGGGTGGTGGTTGTGAGGCTCGGATTGCTGAAGGGACACTCGGAGGTCGGACGATCAGATCTGTCAGCTCCTTAAGACTGCAGGCCCCTCCTCCAATCAGAGAGCAGCACAGAGTCCCCGCCCTCTTCCCTGGCATGGTTAGTAACTGTAGAGGGAAAGTAATAAGAGCTTTACTATAAATGCTCTGTTTCAGTTTGAGCCCAAGAACACAAAAACTGCTCCAATGTGACTAACAGCAAAACACCCACAGCTGATCAATTATGACTGAAAATCAACAAATTCTTCCTTTCATTTTAACTCATAGCAAATTAAAGAAAATTCAGATTTAAAAAGGAAAATAACAAATTTGGCTCAAATCACAAGAACAGCAACAGGATGAAGTACAATGACCTAGAGAATAAAAGAGTAAAAAACACTGGGCCTCTTGCTCTTTTAGTTTGAAGATTAAAGTAATTATTCCACATGATATTGAAATATTATGTTAGTAAAGTCAAATATAGCAACAGAAAATAAACGTTATGAGAATAAAGTCATTTTGTTTTGATTATTTGTTAGTTGATCGTGCTTTAAGGTTTTGCACTCGGTCACAAGTTTTCACATTAAAACCAAAATATTCTCTTTATAGTATTTTGAACTTTTAGTAGCAGAAGATGAGATGCTGCTAAACATTGAACAGCGCTCTCTGTCAGGAAACTCTGTTAAGCTAGTTCATTGATTTACTGCCAAATTCCATTCACCAAAACTTTAATGTTAGTCATCCAAAAGCTGTATATAGAGCGGCTAGGGCCACTTCAGAGTCTCAGATTAGCACAAGTGAGGCCTAGCAGGCAGCGATTGGTTACACCTGGCTTTGTTTCCGTAGCTTCCCACTCTAACTGTATGCCTAACAATCTCCAAAACTACCAGTTCTATCAAAACCCACTGCTTATAAAGTTGATACAAAGTGGAAAACTATCCATTACAGACCAAAACATGTTTTTATTTGTTGTAAAGTCATCCATTTAACAATATGACTCTATGGGGATTGGCTCGTGTTTGGAGACAGCCTCAAGTGGCCAGCACATTTTTATTCTCATTACATTATGGCTTGATTCTCATAACACTGAATCTTTTTCTGCTCATAAGATTTACACTTAAACACACCTTAACTTTCAGTAAAGTCCGAGCAGTTCCCTCCATGGAGTTTTTCTTAAATTCTGGATATCTATTGAATCTCAAAGCACTTCCCTGTAATTACGCAGTTACTCTTACAAAAAAAAAATAAACTGCTTGTGATGCCATGTAAAATGCATGAGAGGGGGGTACAAGCTGCACTTTTAGCTTCAGAGAGACTGGATATCCTCAACCACTTTGACTAAAGCCATCAGTGACCGTCGTGGACTCCGTGTTCATTGGACTGTCAGAGCTATCAGGAGGTGAAAATTTTCTAATCCTGCTGCTGTTACGCCATCTTTATTTTTACAAACTGGCAGGAGAAGATTGTGCGAGTTTGATTCTGAACACTGTGACGTCTCAAAGGACTGAGGCTGGGAGCGGAGTAGATCCACACCCGAGAAAAGGACCTGGACTTTTTGTTAGCTTTGATGAACCAAACTGAAGCGATCGAAGGCTTTGGTGTGCTTGTTTGATGCACAGCGAAGCTTTTATGCATCGTTTCTTCGTGTCATGCTGGACCGATGGCAGGATTGCAGATTCGGGCGCCTGCAGACATCATAGCCACTGAGTAACCATTAAAACAGACTTTCAGTGGTAGTTAGTGTTCTTATGTTTGGTTTTCAGGAGATTGTTTAATGTATCAGAGCTTTTAGAGGAACTTTTTTGGCACGACACGAACACAGTGGGAAATGTGTAAAAAGCCTTTAAAGATGTGATAAATACCAAAAAAAGTTCCTTAGACTGTAATTTCAGTGAAGTTTACTAATAAGTTTCAGAAAAGATAATTTTTTGCACTTCGGTCCTGATTACAGTGGAAATGAATGTTAGATAGGTTTGGGGGGGTTTTTTGTAACTGTAATTTGAACCAGAGTGTGATGTTCTTTTCATGGGATTATTACAAAGTCAAAGACCTGTAACATTTAAGAGTTTATAAATGATGATCTGTTTGCTCAGTTCAGTCTGAGAGCTTCCTGAAGCAGGACACTCTGTAACTCGCTCTGATTTGTAACGAGGTTTGGTCCGTTGGGGTTTCTCAGAGTCTCAGAGATGGTTTTTATTTTTATGTTTAAGTTGTAGATCGCTGTGTTTCCCGACTGATCTCAGATCTGACGCTCAGACAGGGGAAGCACAGCGAGTCTGAAACTGAGATTCTTACTGCAAAAAGTTAACCAATAAAAATGTTTAAGGCTACATTGACTCTTGTTTATTGCTGCTCTTAAAGGGTATCCGTGATGTTTTTTCCCTATTTTCTGTCACATATGAGCACAATATACCAGTGTATATGTTTAAACAATTTATAAATAATGAAGTCTGTATATAAAGAGGCATAGCTAATAGGCACCAAATTCTCTTTGTGGGAGCCAGATGAGGGGCAGCCAATGAGGAAACTGTTTAGACAGGATGTACTGAGGTGCTGATAAAGGCTCAAAAGTACAGACCTGGAAATTAGCATAATGCATCTTTTTAATCCACATCACATAAACAGTCGCTGGGTTGTGACAGCACATCATCTGCCTCCATCCAGGACTTTGACCAGAATTATTTTAATCTGCATAAAGATCATGAATCATGCACCAAATGCCCTTCCCAACACAACTCTCCTCTTTTTAACTGAACTGGGCACCAGTGTAAGGTGCACCCTGGGCCTGTGGGTTCTCCTGCTGACTGAGTGTCCTCAAAACCAAAATGTACAAATTCACTGAGGCTCTGTTTCTCAGGTGTGGATGAAACCTAACCCTAGAATAAAAAAAAAATCTTCTAAGTTTGCTTTTAGTCCAGGACAAGGATTAGTCGGGAAAACTGGCTGACACTGTGTGACTGATTCTATTGCATGAACCAGTTTTAATCTCAACCAGTAAAACCACTGGATAACAAACAGTTGAAAGTATTCTTCTTTCAGAGCTGTTGAACTCCATCAATAATTTAAACTAACAACACACTTTCTGTTGTCATAATACAATGAGTAACTGCACTTCATTAACCTTGTAAGGTCCCAGTCATGACTGAGCCCAAGGTGGCGCTTCCTTAGGAGACAGATCATGTGCTCATTGGAAGGTCAGTGGTGTGATCCCCGGCGGCTGCTGTCTGCATGCCAACGTGTCTTTGGGCAAGATACTGAACTCTAAGCTCCCCCTGATGTGTGAATGTTAGAGCACGTCACTTCAGGCCTCACGGGATTAATAAAATCTGAAGTTAGGCCTTTATGGAGTTTGGTCCAGGCCTCTGCAACATATTATTACTCTGGAAATCCAAATGTTTCAGTTTTCATTTGACCTACTGGAAAGAACATAGTTGCTATTTAGTGTGTAACCTTAAGTTTTTTTCCCCACACAATACCATTGTTTTGTCCTTTTAAAAAAAAAAAAAAAGTTCCTCTGGATAAAACAGCTCACATTCTGGGTTGGGAAGAGTTTTCTTTAAGTCTCTTCCCATCACTCAGACCTCTTTCCAACAATTTTAATCTGTCACAGTAGCAGTCCACCTGCAGTTTCTCAGCCAGCATATTTCAATCTTTTAGTTCAGATTAGTCAAGTGTCTTCAGAAACTTCCGTTTCCATGGGTTTCTCTCAAGATGAGGTCTTTAGTGCAAATCTGGTCAAACAATTCAACTGTGGGCAGGATGGTGTAGATGTAGTAAACCAAACCAAACATGAGGATCAAAGTTTATTTCTGCAACAGTCAACAGAAATGAGCCGCTACATTAAATGTTTCCAGCTCACAGCGGTGCCATTTTCCCCATTTTTAAAGACAAACCCCAAGTCTGAGGAGTTACGTGAAGTGTGCGTTTTAAAGGCAGCAGCAGGATGACTTTCATCCCAGTGGAAAAATAAAAATTATCCAAATCTGAAAAACCTCTTGAGAAGGGTAATTGAAAGCAAATAGCCAAGAACAGTTTACAGATACTTTAGAGTCCAGACTAATTGGTAAACTTTGGGAAGAGTCAAAAATTTAATTTGACAATAAATTACAGCCAACAGATTGTATGATACATTTTTTTCTTCTCTTTTTAAAATTGGGAAAAGTGCAAGAGAGCAGCCAGAGCCACAGACAGTTAAGTTAGTAACAGAGTTAACACAGGTGCTGGGATGACTGAAACAGTGTCCACTGCTCTGAGCTACACAGCTGTGTGCATTGTTCAACATCTGGAGCGTTTGGCGGTATTTACACATTAGATATTTTGCCACCATCTGTAAACAAGAACTCCGGTGGCTGAGGGTCTCAGATGTTGAGGGTCTTTTTCACAGAGAAAATGATGTCTTTGACTTGCGGCAGGCTGTGGTCCTCCAAGATTTTAGCGTATGGCATGGGGATGTCCACGCCAGTTACTCTGGTAACAGGAGAATCCAGGTAGTTGAAGGCAGGACCTGAGAAATTAAAGGCATGTTAGTCTCGAGGCCTGAAATAATTAGAGGTTGTGACTTCAGACTGAACAGCTATTAGTAAATACACGAGCAATTACAGTGTCAATCCCAATATGTGTCATCTATGCTTTGGCTCCTGAAGATCCAGATCTAAGAGTTTAAGGGAACCAGTTATGTGTGCCAATTTTTTTTTTTTTTTTTTTTTTTAAATTAGTTTGAGTTTAGATTACCTTCCATGATCCTGGCACAGATCTCTGCTCCAACCCCAAACTGAGGCCAGCCACCCTCAACAGTCACCAGGTGATTGGTCTTCATCACACTGGTCTCAATAGACTCCACATCCATGGGTCGGATGGTCCGAAGGTTGATCACCTGACAGACAAGAAATGGTTAAGGCGCTTCTGAGCAGTCTAGCTCAGCCAGTCAATAGGTGTTGCATTACCTCACACTCTATTCCCTCTTTGGCAAGGACAGCTGCGGCATCCAGGCAGTGACCAACATACCGAGAGTGAGCAACGAGGGTGATACTATTGCCTGAAAAGGACATGTTCAGAAATGACTTTTGAAGCCTAAGTGTTAAAAACTTGGGATCCAGATCCTGGTGTTCTGTCACTCACCTTGTCTCTCAATCTTTGCTTTTCCAATGGGAATGGTGAAGTCTTTGGACTGCGCTTCCTCTGACATCTCAAAGGGAACGCCATACAGCAGCTCGTTCTCCAGGACCACCACTGCAGACAGATTCAGTTCACATGTCTGTTTGAACAGCCAGGCTGCTACAAACTCACTCAAGCTGCATTTTCAGCTGATGTTTATGCCATTTTAAATACTTTCAAACTATTAGGGGAATAATTTCTGCTTCTCCTGGTAGCACCTCATCCTGTGAATGAGGGACAAGTGCCTTGATTGGTAGCTGGGAGAAGTGTTTGTTGCGTTAAAGTTACCCTTCAGAGCAGAACAAGGACTAGTCAGTTGCAGTCCAACAATGTTTGATTTACTATTTGACCGAGACACATAGGGACCAGCTGGCTTGTTTAATTAAAACCTTTGTAATCAACTGAGCTAGCAGTGCCTGAACATTGATATGCAGGGTGACTGTCCAAGTTTTAAGCGTTTCAGTGTGGCATCTCACCAGGATTTTCATCTCTGATGGCTGATTTCAAGAGGCCTTTAGCATCTTCTGAGTTCCATGGACTTACAACCTTCAGTCCTGGACAGTGACCATACCTGGAGACAAATGACCACACTGATGTCAGAGCTGCCAAACATCAGCTAGGGTTACTGCAAACAGTAAAGTGACGTCTTGAACGCACCATGCAGCAAAGCACTGTGAATGCTGTGCAGCGACACCTGCTGATGCTCCATTAGGGCCTCTGAAAACAATTGGGACTGACTGTAGCCCAGCTGACATGTAGTAGGTCTTTGCTGCAGAATTGATGATCTGGTCAATGGCTTGCATGGAGAAGTTAAAGGTCATGAATTCACAGATGGGTCTCAGACCAGCCTGCAAGAGGACATTGATCCTGTTAGGGAATTTGTCACTTGCAAGTTTTAAGTATCAGGTAGTTTGTGAATCTGAAGAGCTTTCATAATCTGTACTTTGAAGCATTCTAGTCTAAAGGAACTCTTATTTTGGCATTTATGGCTTCAAGGTAGGAAAAGTGCTTTATTATACAAGTCAAGGTGGCTTGGGAGTTGCCCGTGTACTGCTTTATTGGCCTTCTTGAGGTGTAAAGCTAATTTGGGGGGGCAATGGAGCCATAATTCAGGTCTGTAGAGAGCGAAGTGTGCACAGAACTGAATTACTGCTTAGAATTCAAGTGTAATTATGAAGATGTTGAACTTACGCCCATTATCTCAGGTAATTCTTGACTAAAAGTTATTATTCAGTGTTTAGAATGACATTTTAAACAAACTCAAGTGAAAATGTTACAAAAGTCAGTGTTTAGTATATCCCATCAGGAACATGTCAGACTTACCATAGCAGCTCCCACGGCAATACCAGTAAACCCCATCTGCACCAAAAACAAAAAGTTGCTAAAATGAGTCCAACACCACCAGTGGGGATACTTAGATTTGTGGAAAACATCTGTTGGGCAGGCTGTTTGTATCTCACCTCTGAGATTGGAGTGTCAATAATTCGTTTGTCTCCATACTTCTTCCACAGTCCTCTGCTCACCTGCACCAGTAACCACCATTAGTCTGACTGCCTCCAGGAACTTCACTTGCAGTCTAAGCTTTAAACTTACCTTGTAGGCACCGTCATACTGGGCGACTTCCTCACCCAGCAGGAACACTCGCTCGTCCCTCTCCAACTCCTCATCCATTGCCTGGTTCAGGGCATCACGGACTGTCATCTAACAGTGGCAACAAAATCATCAGTACAGGTCAGAACGCTGCTTTCCACAAACTGAAGTTAAAATGTAACTTATGGACGCCACAATAGCAATTCTCCATCCAAAACCTGTTTCACATAAGGCTGTAAACATTCAGGAGACTTTAGTCTCAAGCGGCAATCAGAAGACTGGAGGTTGTAGTTCAAAACCCAAAAGCTGAAAGTCATTCTTGGTAGTTATTTGTATCCAACACAAGTAGAAATTGTTTAAATCTGCTTAATTTTGTCACTGATTTAATGACCACTTAAAAATCACAGCTCTGACCTTAAACTTGTCCGTTACTCTGCCCTAGATGTCAATGTTACAACCAATGGTCCCTCTAATTTGTCATGTGTCTGAGCGAACACAAACTCCCTCAGCGATCCCTTGGACCTCCCGCCAATTATGAAGGAACTGCTTGAAAGACAGACCCGATACACGAGCAAGCCCAGATACAGCTACAATATTTAAAGACACTGACATGAGCATTTCAGCAGCACTTCTCGTTTTGCAGTTTAAAATACCTCAAACTTCAGGATTTTTCTTGCGGTTCTACTTAAGTGTGCATTTTGTTGCCTGCACTGTTTCAGAGCTTAAGCTTTGTTTCAATAGTTTTCCCCTTAAACTTCTGACAGTGACTTATGTTAATGTGAGACAGCTGTCAGCGCGATGAGGGCTGATGTGATGTAAACCCGCATCCCTCTGCTCCGTGACCGCACAACAGCACGACCCCTAAACCCTTAACACACGTATTTAAAACAGGCAGCTACTGACTAAAACAAGTCTCCGCCCAGTTTTCAGCCTGTTATTGTTGTCTGTGCAATTAAAACTATACGTACCGACATCATTCGCTGTAGAAACAGCTAGCCTGCTAGTTGCTAACACTGACCTGTACTGCGGCCGGAACGCTCCTGTGAAATTCCCGCCGCTGCAGAGCTGACACGGTATTCTGCAGGAGAAAAGAAAGGACGCACGAACATTACACTCCCAGAAAGACCAAACAGTGCTTCAAAAACATTGATTTAATCCATACCTTTCCGGAGCGGAGAAAGCACCTCAGGGACGCTGCCATCTTGAACCTGTCCTCTGTCGAACTGGAGTGACGTAATAGTGGAAGCTGGTGGATTTTAACCAATCAAGACGGCACCTCATAGGTTGATTGGAACGTGTCATTTCGAACAGCCAATCACAGTGGTCAAACAAATAAGGAGGCGGGAGAGTAGAAAATGGGGGTTGAAATATCCAAGGACACGGAGCCGCGCAGGCGTCAATATGGAAGACCAATACGGCAAAACATACATAGATAAATAAATACATAAATAGTGTGATTCACTACTTTTTCATTCATTTTTTTTTAATTTAATCTGTGCACTTTGACATTATTTCATATGCAACACATATTCAAGTTGGCAATGGAAAATGGCACTTTATGTGTGTGTGTGGGGGGGGTTATTTTTCTAGTATGCCACAATAGAATTTTTGTTTTTGTATTATGTTTGACTGCAAGTTTAATTTCCAAACTTTTTCATATACATTAAGAAATATGTTTCCAATCCTCATTCCGATCAAGCTCTAACGGTACTGTCAGTTTACCAGATATCATCATAGAAAATGAGTGAAAACATGAGTTGAACATTTATAACACACACACACATTATGTATGATTGTACGATTATGTATGACATATATGATTATATATTGAAGGTTAACTTTACTGGTATTTATCAAATTAGTGCTTGTTTTAAGATTCAAGATCCGTTTATTTGTCACACACATATCACGTAATAGCAAATAGAAGTCATATATATGTGCATATTTATTTGATGTTGCCGGTCCTCAAACATCAAAATCAGTCTCAGTGCTAATTTCTGTGCTGAGAGGAGACAGGAGGCTATAACTAAGAGATGCAAAGGTGTATGCTTTGCACAAGTCTTTTTAGCTTCATATATAGAAGAGGTGTGGCCAAACCTGGGATATACAAGGTAGGAGGTAGGAGGAAGATGCTTTAAACAACTTTTAATTCAAACATTAAAATAATCCAACCTTGAGTTCATTTCACCTTGAACATTGTGTCACGATGTGAATTAAATTAAAAGTGACCATAAATATAAAAGATGCAATTAACACTGTTACACCTGAGACCACAAAATAGAGTTCAATCAATCAATCTTTATTTATAAAGCACTTTTCATACAAAAAATGTAGCACAAAGTGCTTTACATAGTTAAAATCGGAAGGTTGCCGGTTCGAGCCCCGGCTTGGACAGTCTTGGTCGTTGTGTCCTTGGGCAAGACACTTCACCCGTTGCCTACTGGTGGTGGTCAGAGGGCCCGGTGGCGCCAGTGTCCGGCAGCCTCGCCTCTGTCAGTGCGCCCCAGGGTGGCTGTGGCTACAATGTAGCTTGCCATCACCAGTGTGTGAATGTGTGCGTGAATGGGTGGATGACTGGATATGTAAAGCGCTTTGGGGTCCTTAGGGACTAGTAAAAGCGCTATATAAATACAGGCCATTTTACCATTTTAAAAGCAGCCCACCCCACCCTCCAACTCACTCCCCACACTCTCATTAACATAAATGAGTAAAAAGAGTAAAAATTGGGCTGGGTTCACATGAGCCAAGTGAGGAAACACTATAACAGGGAGCCGTCTGCACCGGGAGCCGGTCACAGACCGCAGCCTCCAGGCTGGGCACACAGCAGGAGGGAGGCAAAGGAGCCCCCCAGCCAGGCTGAGAGGACCCCCAGAGACCCAGCAGCCACGGTCGATCACAGCCCCGGTGCAGAGAGCCCCCTCTGAGGAAACACTGGAGATATGCCACAATAGGCTATATACAGGGTAAAATGATAAAATAAATAAGAACGGGATACAATATAAATATACATATAAAGAGTAAGAAGATTAAAAAAATGAATAAGAATAAAATCAATAAATATTAGGTAAAGCCTAAATTAATAATAAAATAACAGGATAGAATAAATAAGCATAAAATAAATAAACGCTAAGTAAAAGCTAAATTAAAAAGGTGAGTTAATAGTTATAACATAGCTATAACAAAACAGTTGATGATGTAGCTGTGTCAGTGTCACGGAGGGATGGATGCCTCATTTTGGTCTATGCCTGTTGCCAAGACTTCTTTATTCTTCTTGTCTCGCTCTTGCCACTTTTCATGATGTGGGCAGAGCCCCTGAGTAAAGGCTCTGGACACTAAAGAGGGAGTCATATTACTTTCCTGGACTCAAACAAGAAAAATATTATATATTCATACATTTTATATGCAGGGCCAAGTAATATTGGGTTTTTAGCAATGTTATGGTCTGCTTACCTACCTCATCAGTTTATTTCCAAACAGAAGCAGATGGGAAGGGCCAAACATTCAGGTCAGTTGGAGACACGTGCGCTGAGTTGATCCTCTATAAAACCTACCCTTCCTCTGTGTTCAGGGAACTCTTCTTAGTCAGGCAGCTTTGGCTACATCACTACTCTTTATGCTTCCACCTTTGCAACCTCATCACTTATCTTTTAGTTTCCTGTAAGAATCCCTCCCTGAGCAAACCTTTCAACTTGTTGATAAGCTTCCATATAAGATGTCACATCATGCCTTTTCCATCTTCAACTGTTCATCACAACTGTAACAAACATGTGGAAATAAACAGGAAACTGTTTTTTTTCCCCAAATGTTTATTCATTTGATACAAGTATTATTTATCACAGCAGGGATGCCAAATCCATTTCACGTTTGCTGATGATGAGGGGGTCCTTTTGCAGCTGCATTAATACACTCCTCAGGAGATTAGAGAGAATTCGCTGCCTTGGATTATTTTTATTAACAAACATCCCTGTGGACCGGGCTTCCACCCCTCTAAAGTGCTGCAGAGACACATTCTGGTTAAATGTAATGAGCATTCACATTGGGCTGATTGCACTGAATGATGAAAGCAAATTATTTGAGCATTGAGCTGTCATCGAAGGGCTAAAAACTTGGTTTTTAAAGAGTCTTTAGGTTACAGGATTCACCTGAGCTCCAGATTCAGCCACCAACACTTCAGCACACAAGTTGGGTGATCAGGAATAAATCACCACAGGTGGCCACAGTTTGTCGCACACAGTGGGTCCTGTCTGCCCTGTGGTGACAGCTGTAAACGTTGCACGTAATTTAAAGGCATAATTATTCACCTGTTGTGTTTTCTGTTGCAGATTTACAAGGTTTTACCACAAATCTGTCCAGTAAATTGAAATCAGGTTGTAGCCCTGTTAGTTTAACTCCGCACAGGGCCAGTCCGTCTGCCTCTTTTGAATCAAATATGCAAAATTTTTTGTTTTGTATCATCAGCAGACTTAGACTTAAAAAAAGCTGATGACCTTCATGATGATTGGACAGAAATGGATCTAAAGCACAGAACCTATCGGTCAAGAATTTTGAAAAGTAGTGAGTCAGCATTATCTGCTCTGAAATGCTTTCTTTCACTGCAGACTGAATATTTTTGGGTTTTCTGCTGTCAGAAAGAACAAATAATCTGATAACATCATGACTCAGTAATGCTTAATAATTATACAGACACGTGGACTATTGTTAATTGCTAACCAGTCTAAGCCACATGCTGAAGCGTTGGCATACTACCATACACAAACCGATGAGCTCCATGTGACATACTGTCATGTACAATAACAAAAAAAACATTCAGATTTCTTTAGGCACTATCACCCAAATGGGTATGGCACAATAAAAACAAACAAAAGTCTGGACACAAACATTAAAACAGAGGAAAAAACAAATGTTAAAGAATCAAAATCAGATATCAGGGTCTGAAGTTAATCCTGAAGGCGAGCTGAGCTCTATGGGGCTGCACTTCATCCACAAAACTTTAGTGCTGAATGTTATTTGTGTTTAATGTTACACAGCACTGCATGCTTGGAAAGAAACAGTTATATGAGCAAGAATAATCTTCCCAAATACACTCAGGTCAATAATGAGCCGGTTACATATCTAAAGCCTTGGTTCAATCAAACTTCCATAGTTTGTGGCATTAGGTTAACTATTCCCAGAAGTACATGTAATGTTGTAATGTTGATGTCAACGCATTATCTGTAGTTTACTTGTGAATGGAAGGATTATTAGAAATGATCTGGACTCTGGTCAGTGACGTGAAGAGACTGATGGACCAAAATAAAATTAGGTAAAAAAAAAAATAAAAAATTGAGGATTTACTTTAGGTCAGGAGAAAATGTGATGCGAGATTAATTTAAGACCCTGCACACAATCAGAAGCCGAGCTGCTCGTCGCTGTGCATCCAAGTTGCTCTGATGCGGGGCAGTACAGACGCAATGATGTACGATAAACTTCAACAGCAGGCGGCTAATTTTAAATTCATGCTGCACTAAAATGAGAGACTGTGAGGATACCAGGTGAGAACATTAATGTTATTGTTCATTTCCCTTTAATCCAACTGTAGTGCAGAGCTAAGGAGAATTCTGGGAAACTGTTTTCATCAACTGTGAGTGAAAGGAGCTGGGATGCACACAATCACACCTTATTTCCTCACACAGATGTTACTTGCTTCACGCACAGCGCCTAAATTTATTAGTCCACCTCCCAGCATAAGGTTTATGCCACAGCTGCATAAGTAATCAGTATTGGTAATTAACAAATTTGTTCTTTTATTCATTTCTGTAGCAGAATGTGCAAGTTTTTGAATCACAATATTTCTAATAATAAAAAGAAAAATAATAATAATACTTGTTTTTGTTATCCATGAATTTGGAAATTTACTGTTTTACAAGAACAAAATTAAAGCATGATATATTTTGATTAAGATGCCATCTTGTATTTCTGAACAGAAAAGCTTGTGGTTGAATGTTGATTGATTTATTTCTGACTTCCACTCACAGCACTCCAGAGCGCCGGCTCACATTTGGCTTTAAAAAGATGAATTCAGTTTGCCTCATAAATAATGATATAGCTCTGATCTAATGGTTTTTCTTTTATAACAGGTGGTCTAATAAATTTATTAAACACTGTACATCACATCTCCCTCCATTATACTTTTCCCACCTCTTATTTCTTGGGGGGTTATTTCTCCTAAACCTCTCATTGCCCCCTCATGCCATCATCAAATAAGTGTGCACAAACAAACAGCTGGATGAAAAGACACGTAGTGTAGTTTGTAGCTTCCTATTCATTTAGCTGCTCTTCGTTTTGTGCTCTGCCTCGTGCAAAATATTGCGCCCGTTTGGTCCAAAAGAAGGGGGGGAAAAAGGAGATAAATATGTTCAGAATCAATCTAAACTGGGATTGTTTCATGCTTATAGAGCTCGTGAGAGAGAGGGTACAGTCTGAAGAACTGTGGAGACAACTGGGGGAAATGCAATGCAGAGAAACAGACCAATGAGCAGAGCGCCGGTTAAACCTCCACTGTTTTTGTGCTGCAATAAACACTTTTGCTCTCCAGTCATTTCTGTCTGTCTGTAATTTCAATGTGATGTTTGATACTCAACTGAAAAATATCTGCAGATCAATAAGAAGCAAATAAACTTTTTTTCTGCTTTCAAACTCTCAAACCAGGAAGTTGACTTTTTCTTGAACACAATGCACTGCATTGGTATTTTGTTTTAATTCAATACACGGCATGACGATGAGTTAATTACAGACAGAGACGACATGTAGGTGTGTTTTGCAGCTCAGTTGTGAGGAAACTGGCCTCAGCCTGAATCATCTGTTCAGAGATGATTTAAAAGGAAAGTTTGGTCTACTCCATACTCAGGACTGGTGAAGCACTCTGACACCATCGAAGTACTGAAATTAAGAGTCCTATATCCACAAAATGCAACTTCACCATCGAGCAGGGGGCAGGAATCCATGGTTGCTCCACAATTTCTTCTCACACATTTTTAAGTGCTACTTTTACAAGCACAAAGAACAAAAATTAAGCCAGCTGGCTGTCCGCAGATCAGCCAGAAGAAAAGCTCACCCGATTCAGTTTCCCGGTTTTTATCCGTTGTCTGTCTTTTAAGGACAAAGTAACCAGAAAAGACAAAACCTTAAGGTGCCTAAGATTGTCCAGCATGTTTCAAAGGGCAAACAGGGGTCGCCATTTTACCCGACCTGTCCTCGAGTCTCTCCAACCACAGCAATACATTAAAAGTTAAAAAAAGCAGGAGGGGGGGAAAAAGCAGAAACAGCAATAAAAACAAAAACTGTACTTGGATCTTTCGTTAGTGATTTTTTCACATCTTGGGGGAGGGCCTTCACCACAGTGCAGAACTGGTGTGTCGGTCATGTTGCCATATTGAGGACAGATTGTGTCAGTGGACGTGGTCAGACGATGGGTTTGCTGTGGTCGATGGTATCGGCTTTCTTCAGTTTGCCCTTACTGAAGGTCTGGATGGAGCTCAGCAAGGCGGCACGGCCTCCTCCCGCTCCATTAGAGGAGGACAGAGGAGGAGGAGGACAGGAGGATGAGTCCTGTAAGGGGGGAGGAGGTGGCGGTGGAGGAGGTGGAGGGGCAGGAGCAGTGTGGGATCCTGGGTACGAGACAAGCATAAACAGGAGGAAGTGTTAGAGGAAAAACAAAGGTTTCAGGGAATATTCCTCTGCAGCTGATTGCACAAAGATGCTCTGGAATCTGGTTCTGATCTGAAGTAACCTGGAAAACTTTATGGATCTAAAAGAACTTGGAACGCTAAACAAGGATGATCATGTTTCACCTAATTATTTCCACATGAACACTAACCTGCCCACTGTCAGTTTTAATGGAGACACTTAACACTGGCAGAAAGTAAACCAGTTCCACAAAGAAACACAGTAAGACTGAAGTTTGGGTATCCACGACTTTGTACTCATTTGATAATTTATAGTCATTTTGCTAATTTCTAATAAGCAAAAGAAAATTTTCAATTGAGTCATCTGGAGGTACAAATGTATTTATTTTTTTTGTAAACTGGGACAAATGTTTAGTACCAAAGGGATTTTTGATATTTATGGTCACTTAACTGGCCTGTATCTGTTCACATTTTGGTTATTAGTTTCTCTTTAAAGTTTATCCATGAATCATTGGATTAGTTTGATACTTAAGGAAACCTTTTATAATCGTTGCCACCTTTGAAGCATAATTTAGGTCTTTCTAAGTGTGTGATTACAAAAGACATCACTAGGAAGAATTAATCTCTGCACTGAATCTAAAATATACATACCTATGTGTCACAAATGGAACACATGCCTCACAGCTCTAATTTATACCCGTTAATACATAACTTCTATCACATAAATGCATTTTATGTACTTTATTTAGATATTGTCTTGATGATATTTTATGTGTCTAAAGAAAAGATGGGCGCTGTTTCCAGAGAGACTTTATCTTTGTGAAAGCAGCAATCTCAAATATCACTATGACCAGGCTGAACTCAATCCATCATCAATTTCAATGGAACAACTCTCAATTCCTGACACTACTCGGACATGTTTTCTCCAAATACTTGTGAGAAACACAGTCTAGTGGTTCTTAAAATTAATACACATGTAGTTAGTGCGGTCTCTTTTGTCCTTTTCTCTATACAAACGGCTCCAATTAGAGCAGCACTCACGAACTTCAGTACCAGCTTCTATCAGAATGAAATCAGAGTTCTAGAATGTTCAGCTGAAGTTCCAGAACCTCCAACTTCATCCACAGCAACAGAATTCCAAGCTCTCTCTGATTGGATGACTCTTACAGCAGTGCATTCTGGGACTTTTTGGCCTCATATTCCTTTGTTTCCTGAACATTGAACTGATGGTGAATTGAACTCAAACCCGTTACGCCTCTTACAGCTGCGCCATTCTGCATCCCCAAGCTCCGTGAAAGTCAGGGATTACAGGCAAAGAAGCAAAATGCTGGGAAGCGTTAACATGTGGGTAAAGCGGAGGCCAATAGCCGCGACTGGAGTTCGCCAACTCCACAGTGAATAATCCGTGACATAATGAAAGGACATCCATCAGTCTGACAGATGGCAGCCGACCTGGAGAAACCGTTCTGTGCACTCAGGGTGTTTGAGGATGATTGATGATTTTTTTAAACATAAAAATCCAACTGTAATAATTTAGCGAGTGCAGAACCTTTTGTGGCGACTGATTTTTCTCCAGGATAGCTGTGTGACAAGATCACTTTCATTACGTTTGGCAACCACAGTGACCTTCAGGGATTTTTCATGTAATATTCAGATGACTCTTCTGTTAACGTCCACAGCTACACTCTCAGTGAGACCACATTTCACGGTTAAATCGACAAATTTGAACTGAAATCTGTGACCACATGTTGTGCACCCGATTTAAGTGTCACATTGTTTCAGTTATTAGGTTTTGTAAAGGTTTGTTACTGTAATGAGCTGGAATGTTTAAAGTTAAGTTGTTTGTTTGTTTTTTTAAAATTGATCACAAAATCATACAGTTTACATCAGTTTCAATGACACCTGTCATCACTGACAATGCCACCTCCTACAGACTGCGTCTGACCAACTGACAACAAGTTTGTACAATAAACAGTATTATAAAAAATAAATAAAATAAAAAAAACAAAAAAAAAACACAACAACAACAACAATAATAATACTAAAAATTTAAAAAAAATAATAATTAAAACCATGCTGCCACAGTGGCACCCATTGTTTTAGTCTGGTTACGAAGGCTTGAGCTGATTCTCATTCATTTTGGTGTTTAGAAGCCAGAGGTGACAAGTAAAGGAAGATGATGGTTCTTTCTGACTATTATGATCATCACAATTTACAAAATGGACTTCATGTTTTATTCAGTATGACCCGAGACTACCAATTGAACCCATTAACTCCTCAACAAATAGCCATTTTCCCCGTATACATCCATACAGCTGCCCTTTTTTTTTTTTGCAACCATACAAATCGCCACCTGCTGGCCTTGACAGGTTTAAGGGTCTTCAGCACTGACTTGACCTTTCAGACCGTCTGTGGTTTGGAGAAACCTCAAGCCCCTCTGAACAGTTATTTACTTGGTTTAAATAAAACTGATGAGATGTTTTTATTGCTGGGCCTAAAGAAAGAGGTTTTGGCCAGTTACCGTATATATGCATATTAAAAACACCCATTTAATCCAAAAGTTAGTTTCTTTAAGATTGCTGTGGACAAAGAATTATCTGAATATGTAATAAAAATAAAAAATAAAAACAAAAGATACAGAAAAACCTTGAATAAAATGATAGTTTTTTGTGATCTGCAGAAGAGCTGTGTAAGGCAGGGAGGAAAAGCTATGGGGGTAAAATGAAAAGACATTTCACAGCTAATGGCACAGAGAAAATTCAACTAATACCACCTCACAAAGTGTTGGAATGATGATGATGGAAAAAAGAAAAAAAAGTGTCACCTCACCCTAACCAAATAACCATCAGACAAAACAAACAGACAGACAGACAGACGTGCTCTAACAGACTGACCAGGCAAAGCTGACCAATCACAATCTCCAATGAAAACAGCCGGTCTAAGTCAAGAAGGAGTTTGACCGCCTGTGATGTTTGGAAATCATTGCAGATTGTGAGTTTTTTTTTTGTTTTTTTAAAGATGTGCGTACACCCCCATTAACAAGTTCTTTCATTCTTCATTTCAGGACTCAAACCTATGAGAGCAAGATTAGCCAATAAGACACAGTGATTACATAAACTCAGTTTGGCAGTTTGGTTTGAAATGATCAAACGTTGCTGATGTTTCTGAATCAAAGACTATTTGACAGCGTAAAAAAAAAAAGATAAAGGATTAATGGACATGAGTATAAAAGTCTGATTACAAATAGACCAAACAGTTTAAATCAATCTCTTTCCTTCATTAGCGGCCTTCATAAATGTGACCAGGTCTTATAACGAGGAACTGGGGTATACAACAGCTTTAAAAAAGAAAAAAAAACCAAAAAAAAAAAACCACTGGAGACCTTCATCATCATTGACATCAGAATCTTTTACTTTACCCAAAGACACGGTCAGAATGGAGCATGCTCTACAGTGGAGACAGCACAGGAAGGAGAGAGAGAAGGAGATGACAGTTATCTGTTCAGTGGACCAATCAGCATTTACACAGTATCACCAGGACGAGGAGAAGGGAGAGGAAAGCAGAGAGGAGACACTAACAGCAGGGAAGGAAGCTGGTGTTGACTTTGTGTCAGCAGGTTTTGTAAGCTGGTGACATTTTATATTTTTCTTGCTGCTCTATATGATGTACAGTTTACAGATGTATGTCTTGAACCAAGTTTAGATTAAATATATTGCAGAGAAATCTAGATGGCATAAAGCGCCAGCGCTTTGGTATTAAGTAAAAAAAAAAAAAGCACAATCTGTGTGCCAAGTTTAGAAATGGAGAATACCACAAAGGTTATGTCCATCTTCTGAATACAGTCTGTGGTTTGTACCAAAATTAAAGAAACTTCCTCAAAGTGTTTGACGGTATTATGGTTTTCTTTTGTCTGCCTGTCCATCCCATTTTCTTTCAAACGAGGCTGAAGTATTAAAACTACAGTAAAATACTAAAACAAAAAAAATTGTTTAAATTACACTATGTCTATAAAGCTTTTTTTCAAGATGTCCATCTGCAGTAAGATTGAAGGGTAAGAAAACACCTGCAGGTCCTCTAGATGCTGCTTGAAACTGCTCCGATCCCCACAGTACAGAATACAGCTTTGGTTTCGGACAGTTCCCTTCTTCCTATCTGAGTGGGATAAATATATTTTATAGCTTATCTTATATTAAGGATAAGCGCAAGAGAATGGATGGATGAAAAGCTTAACCACCTTGATAACAGAGTTTTAGGCGTGGCTGTGTTGACTGACAGGTGCTCTGACACAGGAAGTTATAGCAGATCAGCTTCTGCTGAACTTATTTCAAGTCATTATAAACTAACCCTCTTCATTGTGTGTGTTGCTGGTGCCGTTTGTGTGAAACAGACCATCCCAGAAGCTTGTGGTTCAGTTTTCAGATGATGAAACTGTGGCTACATCAATGTTTCATACCACTGGGGATGGACCGACACACAGCACGTAGATTTTTCTTTTTTTAAACAGTAAGAAAAATACAAAATTTTGGCAGATTTAAAGTTTAAAATATGAAATGAAACATCCAGGTTTCCCACCCTGCATTCACCTACCTAGAGACAAAACAAAGTCAATAAGATGTACTACTACTGCAGAGACAGATACCTGCCTGAAAACCACACGATGAGAGAAGAGGTGAAGAGACAGAGACAGACATTTCAAGTTAATGATTAGTCTTTATAATCAAACACGCAAATTTCAGATGAAAACTGTTATTGATGTGAGTCACAGCACAGCCCTGGCAGGTTCTCGTCACAGGGGGGCCCGACACAGTCTGTCTGACAATGTCCAAAACAAAGAGACAGGCGGGAGAAAAGCAGGCAGTTAAAGTGACAGCTGTAAAGACAGTCTGACCGACGTACCTGTGGTTGATGGGGGAGTGGGGGAGGAGGGGCATGTGGGCGGGGAACTAGCTCCAGAACCTGAAGACGGGACAAAGAAACCCCTTTAATCATCTTTAACTTGAGAGTGACCCTTAAACTTTAACATCTCCTGGCATGTTAGAGGTTAGATGGTCTTTTTAACAGTAACAGATGAAAGCTGCATGTGCCATCACAGCCAGCCTCACATACTCTGTCCTAAATTCCTGATCTCATTGACAGATGGCGGCGGCGCTCGTGTGCCAAGAAATGCCTCTAACAGCAGTGACCTACCAGAGTTATTGTTATTTCGGACCGAGACATCTTCTTCATTTTCATAAGCTGAATGTCTGGACTTCTGCAAAGATAAAAACATAGCTGTGTGTTTAATTCTGGAACGATCTGTAGACTGTGTATATCAAATGTATTTCACTTCAAACAGAAAACAACCCGTTTTCATCACAGAGGAAGTGTTAAACTTTAATTAGAGCTGCTGGTGCGTGCTGACCTTCCTCGCCAGGATCTTTCTCTTCTTCTTCTCCTCCTCTGAGCAGTGATGAGACTGAGCTCTGGTCAACCTCCTGTGTTGGTGCAGCTGCAATCAGACAGTCATACAGAAAGTTATTTTCAACATCAGGAAATTTCTCATAAAAACTGGCCACCCTGTAACACTGCACTTAGACGTGCTCGTAGTTCTGTGTATCCTGTATTTCTGACGCTGAATATTCTTGAAGAAATTAAGCAAATAACACCAGAATAAATTTGTTTTTCTGGGTCACCCGAGAGTTTTGAGTCTTGACTGTATATAATAGATGGACATAGCCAACATTACATCATCCACTGGCAAAACCTTAGAAGCCTCAAGCATTTGAACATCAACTTGTGTTCATTTAGACTTGAAGCCAGCGACTCTATAAACTCATCAGGAAAAAAAAAGATTCCCCCCTGCTGGCTGTTAGAAATAGTGCAGGTTTGAGACATTAAAGCATCTGTAAGCCGCAACCATCTTTAATATACAGTCTATAGCCATAAACTGATTTCACCTTATTTGTTTCACACAGACAGTCCAAAATGTTTACAGTGATTTAAGAGACACCAGGTGTATGATTCATGTCACAACATGTCAGCCTACTAGCTGAACTTTACCAACAATGCTGCTCACACAGCTTTTTACCCCATGTTCTTCTCTTCTGGTGAAATCCAGCCTGGATGACTGTGACCAAACTGATCAAGAACATATTCACACTTTTTCAGGTCTCTCTTAAATCTTTCCTCTTACTCATACTGGTCATACTTTCCTGTGTGCTTTTAATGCAAGTGGGGGAAAATACAGAGTCTTTGTTCCCGTAACAGTCTGTGTTAATCAAATCAAGGCAAGTTTCTACAAAGTTGCTGTCTTAAGCTTAAAACTTCCTCTTTTTGTGTTTACCGACAGATTGGACAGACTTGGAAATATTCTACCTACATTATCAAGGATTATGGGAAATACAGTGATCTGTGGAGCATTAAGCCTGAGCTAAACCGCAAAAGTAAAAAAAAGAAAGAAAAAGAAACAAACAGCAATGCAGAAAAATTATTGCTCAAGTACTGTGGGAGGACAGAAGAATGTTGACCCACCAGTCTCTGCTCCTCTAGCAGCCTTTTCTCCAGGCTCTCCTTTGCTGCTTTCAGTGCTTCCTTCAGCCTGCCGGGGACCTGGAGGAGGATATTTAAGATATTATTTATTTTTATTCTTCATCTTTGTTGTTGAACAAACTCACAGCAATAACGTCAAACTAAACCTCTCACCTTAATCTGGAGCTTTTCTGAACGTTGAAGCTGGACATCGCTGAAAAGCCTGGAAAACAAAAACTTTGGCTCAGAAAAATAAACCTTACACTTCTCTTTATTCAGCTTCTATGTGACTGTCTGCCGCTCATAAACACAAAATTGAACAGGCAGTGGCTGAGGCTTTAGCTCTCACAGACAAAGCTGTATACCCGATGCAGCCACATGAGGATGTCCTCCTCTCACTGACATCATACAGAGCCAGGAGCAGAACCGGAATGTCAGTGATGCAGTAGCTCACCCAGTTCACAATCCCTGACTATTCAGAGGCTATTGTAATGTGTGAAGTACAAAAACACAGCACAACACTTTGTTGTCACTAGTTGGTTGTATTGCAAAAACTAATGATATTAAAATCTACTGAGAAGTAAAAGAGGGTGAAACAGTCAGCACAAATTAATCTCATCCAAATGTTGTAAGCGGGACAAACAGACAGTGGCCATTACATGAGCTCATCAGTCCTTCAGGCAGTCAAGGTAAAAACAGTCTTAAACTGAGTGTTTATAGCAGCCTGACATCTGAACCTTTGTCTCACAGGGATTATTTGAACATATGCTTACCTCATTCCTCATTATCTAAAAATAAATAAATAAAAGGCATTAAAAGCCATGTATCACACAATCTGTATAAGAGCCTTATAAAGTGTTCTTTTCATCCTCTCCACTGTAGGTTTGTTTCACACAGAAAAAGCGTAACTGAATTAGGAGTAATTTAGCTGGAAAGTCCTCTCCCACTCATGTGCAAATGTCACAGTGCCAAAGAGGGCAGGCTTGCATGCTTTTGAGGACCCTGAGAACTATACCAGCTTTGGCCCTTGACAAGTTTAACAATGTCAACAAGTCAGAGACAAGAAGCCAGATGAAGGAAGGCCCTGGTTCTCTGGGCGGATGGTGGGGAAACAAGACTGTAAGACAACCTCATTTTACAGAAACTGAAACAAGGTCATCTGTCCGCAGAAAAACTGCTGATTTATGTGAATCTTTACATTTGGCAGATTTCTGCAGCTATGATGGAGAGAACATGCATTTACAGTCCTTTTTTGGGTTTGTGTAGACATAACTTTAAAAAATAAATAAATAAAAAAGCTCCTATGTGCACTTGTGGGATAACAAAGTCTCCCCGAGGGCTTTCAAGCTGTGTTTTACTTTAAAAAAATAAAAAGAGGTGAACTCACGGCGTCTGCATGAGTGCCGACACTGTTGGCATCCCGCTTTTACAGGCTTCTGTGGACAGAATGGACTGCAGCACCGACACTGAAAAATAAACCATCAAAGATCAGCAACAATAAAACTGCAATTGCTCCATTTAGACATTCGGTCTCTACATATTAAAATACAGGATGCGTGTGTGTGTGTGTGTGTGTGTGTGTATTTACAGACCCACAGCTGTGGAGGGGGCAGGGGGGTACTGCTCAATGGGCACGCTGTCTGGCGGTCGGCCGTACGTCATCTCGTACAGTAAATGTCCAAAGCAGAAGACATCAATGCTCTCTGTGGTCTGCCGTAAACACACAAACAGTTTCTGTCTCTCAAACCTTCAAACAACAGTTTGTGGATCATCTGGCACACAGTTTATTTAGTCTCTCAGTTCTTAATAAATCATTTCAGAGGTCACACTAACTACATCAATGATAAAAAGAATCTCTGTGTTTAGGTTTAGGTCTTATTTTAGCCTCAACTAATCAGGCTAATCCAAACTGAGTCAGTGTGTGCACATACGTTAATTTTCCTGAACTGGGTGAAGGCAGGTCGCAGTGCAGAGGGAACTCCCAGCATGCCGTTCTCCACGTCCATCAGTCGACACACGCCGTCATCGACAAGAACGTTAGACGTGTGCAGGTGACCAAAAAATATACCAGCGTCATGGAGGAGCTTTAGTCCCTGGATATAAACACAGAGATAGTCACACAGTGTATGTATATATGTATGTGTGCATACATATGTGTGTGTATATGTGACTCTGTGTGTATATGTGTGTCTGCACCTCCAAAATCTGTCGGCCGTACAGCTTTATGTGTGGGAGCTCGAGGCCCTGACTCTTCTTTGGATTGCAGTACTTCTTCAGGTAACTCTCCCTGGGCTTCACCTGGACAAAGGAAGATTTTTGTTTGAACTACTTTTGACCAACTTGACAAACACAGCTTGATCAAGCCTATTTTAAGGAAACACACCAATGCAACGCATACAGGAATCCTTCCTCATGCAATAAAAGTCCCATAATGCAACCCATCTGTTCCAATATGATGAATGTTATTCTGTAAAAAGCACACCAGCGATGTTTTATTTTAAATTTAACAACTGATGCTGCTCAGCTATGGCTTCATATCACACAGGGAGACATTTAGGAGTGTTTAGTCTACTCAGGGTGTTTAAATCAGTTTCTCCATGTTGTTCCCACGTCTTCCTGCCTCCCTCACCTGTTGCGTGGAGCTTGACACAGCTTCTGCAAAAAGTAGACCCAACGCTACTTTAAGCACAACTGACAGGAGTTGTCTTGAGTAGGGCGGAGGCAAATCAGGTGTTATTCCCGGCACAATTTTAATGCAGGCAGAATCTGACAAAACTGCATTTTTTGACTTTGGTAGAGGGATTATGGTTAATAATTGTTAATATTTAATAACTGCTAGCAGTGCTTTGTCTTTTGTTGGTTTTACACATTGTAGTTTGACTTACTGGGAAAATGTGAATAGTGCAAAAAAACTATAAACCACGTGTATATAGAAATAAGTGGTTCCATCAACTGTGACTCATGAAATTAGGCTGAAATTTCAGGGCGCCTCTCTTTGGTTCAGATGCTGTTTGACTATCTGAAAGTTTGACTGGAGCACACAGACTGTTTACCTTACAGATGTGGTCTCTCAGAGAGCCCTTCTCACTGAACGGCCGGATGAGCAGCGCTGAAGACTCACTGGTGCTAGAGAACAACAGTGGACAGAGATATGGGATCTGTCGAGGAAGAGGAGTCTAATCACTTACAGGCTATAAATGGAAACATATGCAACTCTGATCAGGTGTTTGTCTGTTATACCATTTATAGTGAAGTCAACTTTGCCATTTATGTGCAAAGCTGGCTAGCTTTAGCTGGATTGTCAGTTGACAATTCATCAGAATGAACAGTTTCTAAATTGATCTAACAAATTAAGGTACATGATCACGTCACTAGCTAGCTCTGATGTCACAGATTGCTTTGTCTAATTCTTGGACAAATATGTGGTGCGTACGTACAGACAGGCTGGTCAACAGCTTTATGGCTGACTGCAGGTCTTTGTCTGACAGGAACTTATCAGGACCCAGGTCCACCTACACACACACACACACAAAAACATGTGTTACCCCACCCTGCTGGGTGATACTATAACATCACCTAATTTAATTGAATAATTTGATGTCTTCTGAGCTTTTGAGGGAAGAAACGTCACTTAATAGTCACATTTTTACCAAAAAAGTCTTATGTAAAAGAGCAAAGTTTTTCTTGTTTCCACATATTTTTGCTAAACTCTTGAAAACTGTTTCTGTGCACTGTCTTCTGAACTCTGCCAGTATCTTATAAAACAAAATATTTTGGTGATTACAGCATGTGCCATCTAATGTAGATTATTTGAATAATGCATTTCTGACATTCTTGCCATCAGTTTGGAGGCTGAGACACTGAAATATGAAGGATTTAACTCACGAGTCATAAATCAGAGTTTCCAGAAGTCAAGAGCTGTAAAGTCACCTTAGCAGACTTACAAACACAGAGAGATGTGACAATCTTCATCTCTCCAAAAAGCTTTTAAAATGTAATTTATGGTAAAGTTAGCAAACTTTTAAACCAGTTTTCATATGATATGATTGGCAATTCTATACATGCAGCTTTACATGCAGTTAACCATTAAAATAAATATTTATGATAAGTGCTTCCACAATATAACTCATCAAACAAGAGCCCGCAAGAGCTCCAAAGCCTTTCAAGTTGTCTGAAGTGAAGAGGCTTTTGGCAAAAGATGATATTTAGCCACCATTTATATTTAATCAATATTTTTTAACTCATCATTTTTCGTTGTCACAGGAATTCTTTCTGTTTTACTCACCCAGCTCAGCAGGTACCTCTCTTTGGTCTGCTCTTTGTTTTTGACTAAAAAATATTTCTTTCTGATCCTCCAGCCTGGAGAAAAAAAAAAAAAAACACACAAACAGAAAACAGCGCCTCACTTTAACTGTAACTCAGTCAATAAGAGTCAAACATTTAGTCTAATATACTGCAGGCACCTTCACGGGCTTCCTCTCACGAATAAAACACTGAATTCATATCCAGCTTTACGCTCTCATAGGCTGCACAGATTTTGTTGCATCAGTCTTAACTGACTGGTTTGGCCGGTCACTGTTAGCAGAACAACGCTTTTAGCTTCTGTGCCACCCCCTAAAATTCCTCCAGCTTCTTAGCAGTTAGCATTTTCTCATAATTACATTTGCAGCTGTAAAGGCTAAAGCGATCAAGTCAATTTAAAAACAACAAGGGTGCACCGTAGTGCTGTACAATCAAAAATGAATAAAACAGGTGAAAATACAGAAAAACGAAACAATAAAAAAAAAAACAAAATACAAAAGAAACATGTCAGTCCTCAATTACACTGAGCTTACTCCCTATTTATCAAAAAATAAATTAAATGAATGACTTCAATTTATTCAAATAATGGCTGACACAAACCCATAGTCACTGCATTTTAATCTAAAAGAAAAAGTGTAGGAGGATTAACATAAATTGACAATAACAGATGTCAGCAGCTGGATGGAAGGTCTGAACAAACACCACCAACCCCTCCATGATCATCTTAATTAGAAAGGAAAACAACGCTCTAAACACTGCAGTCACAGCACTCTGTTCACTAATGTTTTATAACTGAATCAGTCCGATTTCTTTTTAACATGTTATGTGACTTAAACTTACCCATGTCTCTGAGAGGCTCCAGGACCTCCCACTTTGGGTCTGACCTGAAGAACATGGAGACCTGCTGCAGGGCAATTTCTGAGAGAAAGAGAGCCACACAGTACACTTTAATGAAACTAAAGTCTCCTTAAATTACATTCTCTCTGAGTATGGGCTCACAGCAGCTGCAAGTATGAGTTCTCAGACTACAGCCATTGTGGGAAATATACCAAAACAAACAAATCTTCATATGAGGAGTCAGAAAATAAACTGGGAAGAGACCCATGACAAATTTGCTTCCTTTTACTTCTGAACTCGTATATAATTTTGATGTCAACTACAGCTGTGTAAAGTTCTGCATCTTGCAGGATTGCAATCTAGATGTGCCATTCAGTGTTTAGTTCCTGCTGCAGTGTTTCCAGAACCTCATACCGTAGTGATCATACACACACTGTGAAAACACCAGCCACATCGACACAGCTGCCCAAATACTGTACATGACAGTTGCTCCTAACAGTCCGTTTAATGTCATCTGCTTCCTGGTATATCAGAAAGTGGGAATGATGAGCAGGTGACACGACAACTCTCACAACTAAGACAAATCTGATATGAACCCTGCCAACTGGAGCTCATAAAGCTTTAAATGTGTTTTATTATTTGTATTCGTTTTTTACGTGCATGACCCCTAAGCTGATACTGACGCGTTACATCATCTTGGGTTTATCGTTTTTGTGTTTCTGGCTTTTCTGGTGGTCGCTGGGCGGGAGAACTCAGAGAATCTGATGATTTCTGAATCTTCAAAAGAAATCAACAATGACAGAAAATTGTTTCATATGCAATAAATAACCAATCGTTATGAATCATGAACGGCTGTATTGTAAAGTAACGGATGTTGCTTCACTCACTGTGTGTTGCTGATCTTATCACATTAACTGCATGATGACTAAAGTAAAAAAACAACAACAAAAAAAAAACAGCAACATGTCTCATTTTTTGTCTCTTTTGAGTCACTCTGTCGCACCAAAGTCAGAATATGTTAAAAACTACAAAAATCTATCTGTCACAAGACCCTTTCATGCATCTCCAAACCAAACCGACATGATTGCACCTTTAAGTCCCATCAGTCACATTTTAGAAACCAACATTACTTTTGTAGTTCATTCCTGCATATGAAAACAAAATAATAAAATATTCATTTTTTTTATATACTGTCCTATTTTCTGTTTCTGTTCTGTTGCTTAACCCTGGGTCCTAATGGGACCATATGCAGCTAAACACCATCAAACAGGTGAGATAAAGGCTGTGTAGCATGTTTGTTGTTGGTGGCCAAAGAGCTTTCGCGAGCTGTTTTCTGTCTACAGCTAAACATGAATCATCTTCTGGCATCAAATCAGCTGAAACCGTTTCACGTTTTATTCGAGAGGAGGGGGCTAACAGGATCATTTAGGAATGTGTCCCAAACATCCACTGAATCGCCAAGCTTACGGACGTGTGTGAAATCCAGTAAACGGAGAGCAAGCAAACCTGTGTAGTTGGCAGAGTAGTTGTTGGGGTCCAGAAACTTCTTGACTGGGAGGGAGCTGCAAAGCAGAGGATGCTGGGTAATTGTGTCCAGATAAGTTTGCAGTCCTCTCTGCCTTTCTGCAATGAACTCCCGGTCCATGTTTCCAATGAGCTTCTTAGGAGGGAGAGGGAGGGTGATGCCGCACACCTGAAGAGGAGGACAGAGAAAAGGATTCATATTTTTATCAACAGGCTTAAACAGATGTTTTTTCTGTATATTGGAACACTACATGAAAGAAAATCACAGTCACTGTGTTTTCCACAGTTCTTCTGCATGCTGACTGAAGACTGGGGGCTGATGGGACGTCAAGGTCAGAGTGAGACCGATGGAGAGGAAACGAGCATGCAGAGCCTCAGCAGAAAAACGTTTAACTTCCTGTTATCCAGGAATTATATGTTTTTACTCTGAGACAAGTAACAATCATATCTTCAGCAGTCAGATACAACCCAGCTCCACTGACTGTTACATTCAGGAAGACATGATAACTGACTGATAAAGTGTTTAGTGTTATTATTAGATAGAAATGATCTTTTCCTCAGTCTATGTTCCTGTCAGGTAGAAAGCTTTGAAATGCAAACTTCCTCTATGTGCCAATATTTGCTGCTCATGTTCTTATATGTATTGCATCACTGTATATTGCAACATAGAAATATGCAGAGCCAAAAAAGCAACCACAACATAATCTGATCAGCAGAAGCTTTGCAGACTGAGCACACTGTGGTTTCCCGGATTTAAGCATTGTTCTACTTTCTTTGAAAATGAAGGAACACTAGATTACAGAAACATTTAACGTAAATTTTACATCCATAAAACCCACTTACTGTATGTGTTTGCACTTCCACTATTGTCCATTGCTTTTATTTCCTCTCTGTGTGTAGTTGTGGACTGCAGACCTGTAGCATTTTGTCTCTGTATACTTTCTAAAATTAAGACTTCAGCTGCACATTAATAACAATGAATCAGTGCAGAGATGACTGCCGGCCTCTTATACCACCAGCCGAGCCTTCAGGCAAATGTAAACAGAGTTTTGAACTGGACGTAACCAACCGTCTCTGAGCTTTCACATACAGGAAGAAGATTGGGCAACACTGTTTTAGTGGCTGTATGAGTGTCTAAAGGCACTTGTAGTCTCTCACATATTACTGCTGCTCATTTCCACAGCTGACTACTGTGAGCTATGTGATGTCTCCAAGTGTGTCGTTTCCACGACGTTCATGCGAGCAGCATAACGAATTCAATGTTCAAACTGCTCAAACGTCAATGAAACGATCTACATACCGAGTCAGTCTCTGAAACACAGTGATACTTCATTCGCTGTCATGCAGTTCGTGACTGGAACTCACCATCAGGCTGTTGTTAAGAACGTCAAAGTCACTGTAACGTCGAATCACCTGCAACAAACACACACACACACACACACACACCTGTCAGGACTGCAGCGTTACAGGTCATTAAGATTCTTTAAACGTTGACTTTGAAGGCAAAATGTGAGGTGAGCATATGTATCCTGCCTTCTTTAAAGTTCCTCCAAGTTGCACAGCTTAACACTAAAAACATTTTGGGTGGATATTTCCAGCAAGCTCTGAATTAAAATCATAAAAAGAAAACTGAACTAATGATAAACAAAGGATGTTTTTAGAACTCCCTTTTTAACAGGAAGAGAGCTTCAGTAGATCCAGTCGGGCAGGAAAGAGAAGACAGAAGAGTAGCACAGAAAGAACCAAATCAGGAGTATAAAGAGGTGTTCGGTGCATCACATGAAGTTCCCCCAGCAGTCTGAGCCTATAGCAGCGTACCTAAAGGATGCTCCAAGGTCACCTGATCCAGCCAAACTATCAACTTTTTCAGAAGGAAAGTAAGAAAGAATCAAAACTAGGAACGGGTTCCAAAGAAAGGGGGCCTTACTAGCTGAAGGCTCTGCCTCCCATTCTACTTTTAAATACTCTAGGAACCACAAGCAAACCAGAAGTCTGAGAGCAAATGCAAATGCTCTCCTGGGATAATAAGATACTTTGAGGTCTTTAAGAGATATAGGATCTGATTAGTCAACACTTCGTATGTGAGAAGGATTTTAAATTCATATCTACATTTAACAGGGAGCCAAAGAAGAGAAGCCAGTGTGGGAGAAATATGCTCTCTCTTTATAGTCTCTGGATCAGCTGGAGGCTTTCCAGGAAGATTTTAAAGGAACACGATAATAAAAAATTACTGCAATTCAGCCTAGAGTTAACAAACGTATGCAAAATGAGGTTTTCTTTGTCACTCTGAGACGGGATGTTTTTCTTTTTTTTCAATTTTGTACACATGACACAGCAGTCCTACAAGTTTGTTTAAGGCATGGGTTAAAGTAAATATCCGGCCCAAGATGACTTGAGGTTCCTCACAGCATTACTGTGCTGATATGTTTTATGTTTATCAGGAGACAGCACACAGGCAGGGGAGTATAGCAACAATTACTTCTGTTCTAAATCACATTTGTTTTATTTCAATTTTCTGCTAAAGACTAAAACAGATGCATCAGCAAACAGAGAGAAAAAAAATGCACAGAAACAAATAAAAACCAGGATGAAACAGCAAACGCAATCTACACGTTTGTGAGGGCAGCTGTAGTACAGTATGTGCCTACTGTGGATGTTGGGCCACTGATTCTCCAGGTGACCAATTTGAGGTTGTTATTAGAAGATTTACCTGCCAGCTGTTGTCTAAAGACACACCCCTCTGGACTCGGATGATGTACTCCTGAGAGACAGAGAAAAAATAGAAAATAGACCCATTGTTTTATCATATAGTGTAATTGTGTAATTTAAAACAAAAAGCCGAGCTGAGAATAAGGTTTCACTTGGATTAAATTTAACCTTTTAGAGTCACTAAAAAGAAGAAAGCAAGCAAGAAGGAAGGATGCAAGAATTCAAAATTAATGGATAGATGATAGATGGAGGAAGAAAGGAATGAAAGATGGAAAAGGGGAGGGAAGGAAGGAAGGAAGGAAAAGAAAGAAGCAAGGCAGGGAGGTGGATGGATGGAAAACAAATAACAATTGAAAGAATGGAGGATAGATGGAAGAGAGGAAGGCAGGAAGGGAAAAATAAGGAAAGAAAGATGGATGTGCATGGAAAGGTGAAGGTTGGTTGGAAGGAAGGAAAGAAGGAAGGAAGGGAGGGGATTGGTTAGGATAGTATAGATGGATGGCCAGGTGAAGAGTGAATGTGAAAAACAAAAGTTTCCACCAAAGCCAAATTGGAAGCAGGATAATGATTTTAATGAGGTTTCATGTTTTAACGATCAAAACTGTTACTAAAATCCACTCACTTGCACAAATGTAGTAAACAGTAAATAAAAATGAATATAAAAACACTTAAAGAAAACAAAATTGAACTACAAATTGAACAACAAAACAAACAACTCTTGCAGCGAGGCCAGCTGTGCGGGAAAGGCACCGTTAAAGGAGCTCACACATGTTGGGTGAATCCGCTTTCTGTTTCATTTCCACATAAATGATCCACATCAGAGGATCTGCCTGCGCATGCCATCCTTGTCACAGATCTTTGCAATGAAGCTGCTGAGCAAAATATTTTCTCGACCGTCAGAAACGATGGACGCGAATATGAAAACAGGACCGAGCGTGTAAACCCTGCATTTTCCCCTCTTTAATCCTCTCAGTCCACTCACCGTCTATTTCAAGCTTTCAGAGGTTCCGATTTCTGCTGTAATCGTGCAATCAATCATGTGAGCCGAGCAGCTTCATAAACAGCTAAAGGCCTAAAATCACCGCCGTCCAGCTGATGTTTGTTAATACATTTTGGAGCTTCAGGCCACTAAACTCAGCTCCTCTTTCACCTTTTGAACTGCTGTCTTTTTATCTTTTCTTAAAACCTTTCGTTTCATAAAGTAGAGTCACTCACATGAGGTTCACTGAGGTGGCCAGACCGATGACTTTTATACACAACTGCTACAAAACCAAATGTGTTTTCTTAGTCGATGTCTTTATAAAATGTTTTATATTCAGTGACGTGTACAGCTTCCAAATGTGTATATCTTAGAAACCAGTCAGGATGAATGTGAACTTCCTGTTCTTGCCTAGCAAATATTGTGTTTATACTAGTTTTCTGAGATATTACATGGATACGTTTCAAAAGGCTGAACTTTTACTTTTTTACTGTTTCCGTTCACTTTCGTTTTTGTTGCTCATATTGGATAACAAAACAAGGTGATGTTGAATTATATCACAAATCTTCGTCCAAAGCGAAAATAAGACGAAAGTAAGTTTTCAGATCACTGTTGAAGAACAAACAAACACATGTCATTCGCATTAGCAGAAGTAAGATGATGAAAGGAGGAAATACCCTAAAAGAAAACTGACATTTCTCATTATTCAACAGCTGCACTGAATTATAATTTGTGCACTGAACCATTGTAGCGACCTTGACTTGATTTATTCGGGCTATGATGTTTGCAGACGACACTGTGATCTATAGTGAGAGGGGGGAGCAGGTGAAAGAGAGTCTGGAGAGGTGGAGGTATGCATTAAAGAGAAGAGGAATGAAAGCCAGTAGAAGGTGGATGAGTTTACTATCATCCACACAAGAGGTGAAGCAGAGAGTGCAAGCAGGGTGGAGTTGGTGAAGATAAGTGTCAAGGGTAATTTGTGACAAAAAGACAGCAGCAAGAGAGAAAGGGACGGTTTTAAGATCTCCTATGATGTGTGGTTTGGAGATGAAGCCACTGAGAAAAAGAGAGGAAGTAGAGCTTTCGGAACCAAAGTTTAAGATGCTCAGATTTTCAATGAGAGGGACAGAGGAACAAGGATGGACAGGAGTAGAAAAAAGGACAGAAATAGGTACTGCCAGAGGGGCAGCTCAGGTTGAAGTAAAAGAAGAGCACGGAGAATATTCGTGGATGCAGTGAAAGAGGACATCCAGAGGGATGACAGATGAGCATTTTTAGCCATTAGATTTTTGTTAATCTAATGGCCAAAAATAACAATAAAATGAATACACTCCTTTTAAGGGAGTTAACACAACACTGCGCCTGTTGTATTCGCAGACCAATAATGCCTAATCACCCCAGAATTTTATCCAGCTGTTATGAAATTTTACAGCAAGTCTTTAAATTCCCCAAATCTTCGAATTACGGTAAGGTTGTTACCACATTAGAATTTCACCTGCACATTACCTGCCAGAAGAGCTCACCATAATCAAATTATTCACATATCCACAGAAGAGTGAAAACTTTGTTTATGAGGTGATTTGTCTCTTTTTTGCCCTACTGAATTACACTCAGAGTAGTGAATGGAGGTGGAGAGAGTGAGTCTATAACAGCAGATGTAAAAAAAACAACAACAGTTGCACTGACTGGAGTGTGTCAGGTGCTGTAACACCTGCCAAATGAGACCATAAACCTCCATAGTGCACACTGACACTTTATGATGTGCATCATAAACATGATTTAAATAATTAAATTAAAACAGAACCCTGCATCTAATGGCTTCTTCCCATTGCATGCACTCCTGTAATGCAGTGTTGGAAACATCACTGTAAACGAAACCCTGTGAGAGACTCAAGCCCATCAGTGTTTGTTTCTGTGTAGTCAGCTGTTTGTAATTGGTGATAGAGCAGAATGACTAGCAGTACTTTATTGCCTGAGCACAGTGCAGTAACCAGAGGCCTGTCCTCTCAGAGCTGCATTAATTCTGGAGCTGCTTACATGTTGGGAAACTCTGGAAAGGTCTTGTGACAGTTCTGGCATCACACAAAGAGCAAAACATAGCTTTAAACGCACAGAGAGCTGCTTATTTTTGTTTATTCTCACTGTGGGGTGAAGAATGAGGGAAAACAATAGCCCCGTGGATTAACAGATATAAATAAATACGTGGAAACAGGACGTTAATGATTAATACTCACATCCAGCTGTATTAGTGCCTTCAGTGGAAGACATGATTCTGTTTTACAGTGCTGACATTAGCGTGCTAAGCTAACTGGCTAGCTCAGCTGATCGCAGCCGGACTGTCAACAACAAACAGGCTGCCATGCACCCATTATCGGACAACCGCGACAGTTCAACGACACCAAGTTTACTTTATTCACCAACGCTTCTCATTGTAACGCTGCACATTTTGCTATAACGTAACATGGGCATTGCTTTTTGCCTCTAAATCTTTGGCCTTTAACGCCATCAGACACCGCCCCGAACTCCAATGAAAAATCCGATTTTACAGTTTCTGTGGATTTCAGCAGTTGCTTAATAATAATCACACATTTTATCAGCTTACATATACACAGACCAACGCTCACTTTGATCTGCTCTGGTTAACTTGTCAAAAATCACATTTTTGTTTTTCAGCACTAAAAAATATGCAGCTGAAGAAAAATAACTACAGAATATAGTTGAGTTGTTTTCTCAGAGTGACTGCATGCCAAATATTAAACTAGCCCATTAAGAACAAAAAAACAAAAACAAGTGTTGCTGTTTCAACAATAATCTAAAAACGCAAAATATTTTAAAGGACTTTGGTATATAATGAAAAACGGGGACTCTGAAAGCGATCCTTGCGGGGCAACCAGTGTCAGTGCTCCACTGTAATCAGCAGAAAAGCTTACCGAAAATCAGTGACAGCAACAGTCTGGGAAACTACACTAAAACGAAACTAGTCTTGTCCAGCGTGTCCGATAATTGAACTAGCCACATAGCCATCGACTTAAAAACGCCTCCTTGTAAGAAAAAAAATCCCGAAAACTAATATTTTTCGCCACAGCAGCGCCAATGAGTGAGTCATGCTGAGGAAACATTAACAACGATTTTACGGTTGAAGCCGCGGGCTGTCAGCGGTGAACCGGCGGGGATTTTCGGTTAACACTTACCGTGTGGGACTGCAGATTCTGGCTGGCTTCGATCATCGCCGTCAGGGGCACTGTATCGTCTAGTAGCAGGCTGCCGGGGGCCGGCTTCTCCAGGAAAGACATCCTGGAGGGTTAGCGGTGGAAGTCCTATCTGATGTCAGTCTGTCAACGCGGGGAAGACGAACTGCGGAAACCCGAGAGAAGACAACCAGCGAGTTGATAGCCTAGCTTGGATATGCCGTAACCAGGAAGCGCAGCTCGGAGCAAACGTCACGCAGATTCCCCGTTTTAATTGGATATCGAGAAACCCCGTAAAGAAGCTTTGTCGCCATCTGCTGGTTTGGAGGAGAATGGTTTCTCAAACTATTTCCAAATGATAGTTGTTATTTTGTGTACTTAGAATTACTAACAAAATTTTGGTCAAAATTTATCTAAACAATTATGTTTGTTTTTTCTTTCATTTCTTCTTTAAGCATTCTTATTTGTTATTAGTCATATACACATTCATTCAACCAATTTTTTTTTTAAATTTGCCTTTAAATTAGTCCAAAATGTCAAAAAATAAACAATGAATATCAGGTTGAAGGATAGAGATAAATCAAATAAATAAAGTAATGGAAATAAAATAAAAATCTACAGCCATCTGTGTGAAATAAACAATATTTAAACTAAACCATAAATGAAAGAAATGAAGTCAAGACACGTACAAAAAAAAGATTTGTGCCTTTGAAAAATTATTTAATCAGATTTAACTATGACCACTTGATTAGAGTTTAGTTTAGAAATGCTTTAAATAGTGCTCTGCCAGTGTACACTCACTAGCCAGTTTTTAGGTACACGTTCAACTGGTTGTTAATATAATTATCTAATAAGCCAGGTGGGCATGTAGACATTGACAAGACAACCAGCTGAAGTTCAAACTGAGCCTCAGAATGAGTTGAAGATTTAAGTGACTATGAAGGTGGCACGGTTGTTAGTGCCAGACAGGCTGGTGTTCTCACAAACTGGTGATCTGCTTGGACCTTTCTGTACAACCATCCAAGCATTTCTCAGTGGGTGAAAATGTCTAGTTGAAGTCAGAGGAGAATGGCCAGATTTAGCACAGAGCATCATTTCAGTCCAGCCGAGTGTTGTTGTTGACCATGTCAATGACTCTTCTAGGCTTCAGTTCTCAATGCTAACCGGGTATACCTAATGAAGTGGCCGCATAAGGTTCACTTGACTGAACAGTTCTCCAGCTTCACTTTGCAGTGCTCAAAAAGTGTTGTTTCACATGATTAATCATGAAACATGGAAATATTAACATGTCATTATGTTAAGTAAACATAATAAAAAAAACTCACCCTTATAATCAGCTGAAGGAAATGAGTCAGTAAAAAGAAAATAGAAGGATCACAGTATGGTGGAAGGAAAGAAAGTTGTGTGTGTGCGATGTGAGTGAACAGGTGGGTATAACAACACAAGCAGGTTTGAAAAATTCAAAGACACATTTATTATTTTATCTCCACACAAAAGATTTCAAAACAATAAACAAAGCAGAGCTGGAAACAAATATTAGATGCTCTGCCTATAAACATGTTTTTCTTGCTTTGAGCAACAAACAATAATAAAGTCCCTCGTGTACAAAATACTATTTTGAGGAGACAGTGAGGGGTGACCACCTCCTCCTCTCACTCCTTCTGCTGCTGCTCCTCAGGCAACATCACCATCACCTCACCCTCCATCACCACTTTATCCTTAACAGAGCACGTTACAGCAATGAAGGCGAATGACATCTTAATCTTGCGGACTTCGGCTTCGGCCAGCACCTCCTCTCCAACGTAGAGTGGTGCCGGGAAGCGGATCTCCTGGTACAAGAAGATGCAGCCTCGACCCGGCATCCTGGTGCCGAGCACGGCCGAGATCAGGCCGTTGATGAGGACGCCGTGCACGATAGGTGTCTCAAACGAAGTGGTGCTGGCGTACGCCGGATCCAGGTGGAGGGGGTTGGTGTCACCTGTCAGCTCAGCGAACGCCTCCACGTCACGGGAAGAGAACGCTTTGGTGAGGGAAGCTCGCTGGCCAATGTGGAGTGACCGGCTGAGGTGAGGAGCCGCTGCGATGGAAGACAGCGGTTTATTAAAGACTCGCCTCCACAGGAAACTCATTGCGAAAAAAAGAAAGCTCCTCCGGCCTCAGTCGAGCTGCAGATCCCGACTGTTTCCCGTCAGTGCCAAGAGGAATGGAGACACCTGAACACAGCACAGAGCAACAGAAAGATGGTCTTTATAATGTCTTGGATTAAATATTCCTCAAACACAAATGATGCAACATTACTGCAACATTCCTTAAATTAAAGGAGACCTAACTGAAACCTTTGCAAAATGCACAACTCAAAAATCATCCTTATGAGGCTTGGTCACGATTTTCAGGCTTTAAATTACAAAAATGTTATTGTTTTATGGTTGGAAGCTTGTTTCTATAACAAAAACAAAACAAAAATAATTTTTGCCAATCATAAGTCAAAATTTTGGAGTTTTAATCTCAAAACTTCAACTTTACTGGAAGTTTGGCTCATTTTTACAGGAGTTTTAGTTAGTAAGTCAAAATTCTGAGATAATAATCCAAAGTTTTGACCTACAGAAAGAACAAAATGTTCGTTTTCCATAATGGGCCTCTAGGGGAGAGACAGCGATCTGAGCTGTGGTCCATGCATCTGTGAGCCCTTACAGAGCACCTTGAGAAACAGGATGTTTCTTTTAGCCACACCAACACAATCTTTGCTCACAACTGAAACTTAATTCCACACAGGATAATCCAGCATCAATTGTAGAAGCACCAGCACAAGAGGCTATAGTGCCAAGACATCTAAAAAGAGCGGCCTTGCTGATACAGTCCACGAGACGCTCTTAAGGGGAGATCAGCAACTCTAAATGAGTCCCTTTCTGAAACTTTTTCAGCACACCTTGTATATGAGACAGAAATATAAAAGGGCAACGTCCTCTTTAAGTCAACGATGATGTTGCATGCCTCCCAGTCTCTTTCTCATGGTGGTGAACGCCGCATGATTGCAGCCTTGCTATTGTGCGTCACATGAATCCCTACTGATTACCTTATCTATTGTATCCTAATTTAATCTAACAACAGCAGCTACAAAAAGAACAGTTACATATTTTTTTGGCACTAATCTGTTTAAAACAGAGTAAAAAAAAAATACTGCTTCATCCTCTTTAAACCTCATAGTGCACACTTAAAGCAACTTCTTCATTACTTCATTTTAAATCCACAGCAGCAGTGTCCAGAAAAGCAAAATGAACAAGAACAAAAAAAGCTCACGTATCATCTGTAGAGATTAAAGCTGATGCACAGGAACTTTCCTCTTCAGCTCAGGAGTGCGAATACACAACATTGTTCTGCACAAACATATGTGTAATGCTTCCACACGGACGTAATTTTTTGTGCCTGGCGGCAGAGATAATCGCCTCAGAGGTCATGTGGTTCGGGAGGGGCGGTAAAGTATTCACAGCTGATAGTCTCAAGGTCGACACAGAGCTTTGATGCTCGGCACAAAAAACACACGAGACCCAACCATCAGAAACTCTGTGGAAGGTGACTGATTGGTTGTTCACAGACTTGTGGCTCAGAAGCTGAAAATCAGTAAAGAACTTCACTTTGTTCACCCTCATTTGTAAACAAGAGACTATCCTACAGATGTGTATATTACAGCATGTTATACTAGCACAAGAGAGGATAATGTGCATCAAATTAGCAGCTTTAATGATGACAATCTGGAGGAAAAAATGTTAAGATTTTCAGCAAGTTTGGTAGAGTTTATTTTTCTGCAAAATATGTAAACTCTATTTATTTGTCATCACGCGTCACGATTCTTTAGTCTATTAACTTCTCTAGGAGTGGATCACCTCTGAGAAAATTCTTATTATGAGAGAAGAGCGGGGATCAAATCTGCTGACCTGCAGGACTCTGAAGGCACAGGCCTTGTTCTGGTAGGAGCCGAGAAGAGTCAGGGAGCTCCACAGCTTCACCAAACTTCTGCAAACACACACAATAAAAGAAGAAAATGATACCAACAAGTGGTGGTTAGTCTGTTTCAGTTTCAGCTGTCCCCACCCCGCCCCCTTTCTCTCATGGTCGGTGGTCACCTGCTGTAAACACGGAGGAAAGCGGTCAGGGTGTCCTCATCGTACTTCAGGACGTCAAAGTTTAACGCTGCTCCCACCTGAGGAGTGAAAACAAAGTAAGAAAAGCTAAACTGCATCCCTCCACGCTACGCATGAATTAGGACCCTGGATTCAGATAGTTTGGACTATCCAGAACATCTCCCTTTCCTTTTCATCTGCTTCAATCTCACCCTCCACATTCAGCATCTTCCTCCTCTGCACACATCCAAACCACCTCAGCCTTGTATCTAACTTTTGCTCTAAACTGAGCCTGAGCTGTCCCTCTAATCTGCACTCATTTCTAATCCCACCCATTCTGGTCAATCCCAATAAAAATCTAAGCATATTCTGCTCTGCCATTTTTTTTTTTATTAGTGCAGTTTCACTCATGTACTTTTCATGTATGCTGTCTTGCTTCCATTCCTCTTCTCTCCAGCACATACCTCCACCTGCTCCCTACTCTAACTAGAGATCACAATTTCATCTGTGATCATCTTAGTACATGGAGACCCCTGGCTGACCTCAACTGTCAGTTTGACAGTTACGTGAAGATACATTATCACAAAAAACCCAAAAACAAACAAGACTGATCCAGATCACCACAAACAAACAGTCACCTCAAAGCTGGGACGAGCCCCACATCTGGTAGAATACACTATATTACCAGAAGTATTCACTCACCTGCCTTCACACGCTTATGAACTTGAGTGACATACCATTCTCAATCCATAGAGTTTAATATGACATCAGCCCACCCTGTGCAGGTATAACAGCTTCAACTCATCTGGGAAAGCTTTCCGCAAGGCTTATAAGTATGCGTTTGTGGCGGGGTGTGGCCTGCGATGCCGCTGCAGGTGAGATGGACTCTACGGCATCTACAATCTACACCACTACAAGTAGTGGTGTACTTTACAGCACTCCATCCGATGCTTTGCTTGGCCTGGCTGCAGCTGCTTGGCTACGGACACCCATTTCATGAAGCTCTCTACGGACTGTTCTTTGATCTAATCTGAAGGCCACATGAAGTTTAGAGGTGTGTAGAGATTGACTCTGCAGAAAGTCGGCAAACTCTGCACACTAGGGCATAGAGACAGCATCTGCTGACCCCACTCTGTGATTTTACATAGAACACCATTTCATGCTGAGTTAGCGTTGTTCACGCTCGCTTCCACTTTGTTAATACCTCTAACAGTCGACTGTGGAATATTCCTTAGAGAAGAAATTTTACAAGTGGACTCGTTGCACGGGTGGCATCATATTACAGCATCACACTGGAATTCACTGAGCTCCTGAGAGCCACCCATTCTTTCACAAATGTTTGTAGAAGCAGTCTGTATGCCTAGGTCCTTGATTGTATACACCTGTGGCCAAGACAGTTACTGGAACAACTGAATTCATTGATTTGAATGGGCGAGTGAATACTTTTGGCAATATAGTGTATTTAATGCAAATTAATCCTCACATTATACAAAGGTTCTGAAACTCAGGAGAATAAAACAAGTAAAACAAACACAGAAGCTCCTTAACTCCTCACCGGTCTTCATAGTCTCACCTCTCCATACAGAGACTTCAGGCCTGTGATGATGAAGTACTTCAGTTCAACGGCACTTAGTCTGGTTGACTCATCCTCCAGCACACTAAAGACACAGAGGAAAAAATAAAGTGTGCGTGTGTGTACAAATATCAGCACAACATCAAACTCTAACAATACGATGAGGAACTTACAGGCGGACCTTCAGGTAGTGGTACGGTGAGGCGTTTTTCAACACGACCCGTTGGTAGACAGACGCTTCTTCCTTCTCCTCCACCTGTTTCATTCTATCAGAGCATCAGTGGCTCAGCCTCTGTCTGATGAAGAGCAGCAGGTGGATCAGCTGACTATAAAAAAAAATCAAAACAGTGGCGCTTACAGAGAGTCTCTTCGTCATGTCTGCATTTTATCGTTAGTCAATAAATACCTGTACTAAAGCAGGAACTGTGTGCGTTACACTTTATTTTCCACAAGCTTGTGAGGGCCTGTCAGTGTGCACTATCAAAGACTTGTAGCAGCAGGTGTTTAAAGCATTTTGTAAGTATTTTAGTTACGGGCTGGACCTTTGGACATTTACACAAAAGCAAACAACAAAGACAAACAGGAACACCTCAGAGGAAACCTGATAAGCTCTAAAATATTACGTTTTGGGAAGCCCAGAGATCTGACAGTGAAACGTCAATAAAACACGAGGAAAACTCCGTACAGCCTTTAAAACCCGAAGCTGAAAGCGGCTAACCCTCGACAAGGTGAACCCGTTAGCTTCAGCTAAGTTATTGTAGCTGCTAGCTGATTCTCTGTTATCGACTCCGCACACAGAAATCAACGTTTTTAATTTGTTCTGAAGTTTAATAAAAGCAGAAGCACTTCACTCACCAGCTGCTAAAACGTGGAGGACACACAGCGTGCCGAGAAGTCCGCAGTCCCAGAGAAACGTCTTTCACTAAGGGGGAAGGGGACCCCAGCAGCGCATGCGCAACCAGCTTTTGCAAAGACGCGTAAAACTGCAAGATGGATCACTCTTCGCCACGAGACGGCTTATTTTGTCTTGTACGTTGAAAACCTGATATGGAAGCTTGTTTCTGCCACTGCCACAAACAACAGTACTAACTCTGACAAAATAATTTAAAATTAATTTGTGAATTTTTGAGTTACTGAATCAACATTTTGAGGTAATAATCCAAATGTTTGTCTAATGGATGACATTTTTCTCTATGGAAATAAAAATTAATTATTCATTTATTTTATTTTTTTAATTTCAGGTTGTATTTGACAGGACTTGATTCGTCGCCCTCAAAATGTCAAAATAACATTTACAACTTGTAACCCTAACCCTAACCTTTCAGTGGTGCTATTAAATAGCATATAGCATATTAAACTTCACAGCTTGAGCTTACATCATTCATCTTCTTCGACACACATCCTGCTTTGATCTTGAGTGGGCCAGACCAGTGAAACT